ACGTGTGCAAACGGAGGGCAGTAATACTGTCCCCGCCACATGTGGTACGGAGCGAGCAGGGGCAGGAACTGGCACAGGACCCTTGAGGTGTTGGTGTGTAGACTGTTGACTGAAGCGCCAACTCCCCAGCTGCTGAGGTCCACAGCTTGCTGGCCACCCTTGAGCTGTGGGGCAAAGGGCAGAAGACGCGTAATGAAATATCTTTTTTAAAGGCTCAGCATGGAGAGCGACTGTCATCGGTGGACCGCTAGCCGGATGGGTCCAGTCGTCCTGTCTGCTGAGGCCTTCTCCCCTGTCCCTGGACCTCAGGTGAAGGTGAGAGTGGCGTTGTCCAACAAGTCCAGACTCCTCAGACGCCACCCATCTCCACCCTGCCTACAGGGCCCTGGTTCTGTGGAGGTCCGTGTCTCTCTGCCCATCCCACCAGGCCCTCATGCCTAGCCTCCCATGCATGTACCACCCACACTCCTTGGGCACAGGTGAGGGTGTGCACACATGACCCTGGGTGCTTGCACCAATGCACACACCAACGCAAGCATGCAGGCATTCCCTCCTTAGACAAGGCTGATGCTGATGGAACCAGCACCCACACTTGTGGTCCCTGATACTCCTCTACCGGGGCCTCTGCCCTCTTTCCAAGGGAAAAGGAGCCTGCTCCCTCTAGGCTGCCACACTCGGGCCCCTCCCATCAGTTCACTGTCTGATCTTCTGTGTCCCTCCCACCCCGGTAGCTCCATGCTGCTCCCCTGGAATGCTCCAACCCCACAGCCTCCTCTTATTGACAAGGGAGCTGAGAAGCCCTTGGGCTATAGAAACCAGGAAAGGAGGCATTGTGGACCTCCAGTCCTGGGGAGAAGAGCTTGGCTCAGAGGCAACTCCCGTGGCCATGGCCCACAGTCCTCAGGAGAGTGGGCGTTACCCTTCTGTGGAGGCTCTGCCTACACCTGAGGCAGCCAGGGAAGCAGCCATCAGTGTACAACAGCCGGAAGAATGGCCTGGTCCTGCAGTCACCGAAAGGCCACTCAGGCAGCCCTGAGGCCCAGCAAGCAGTCTCCCTCTCACTGGGCCCCACTTTGGCCGCTCCACAGACCCAGGACCAAGGACAGACTCACCAAGGACCCAGCAGAGGCCAGACCCTTGTCTGCCACCCAGCAGCCCACCCTGTCCCCAGGAAGCTCAATCCCTCCCTCCAAGCCCTGCTGCTTCCTCTCCAGCACAGCTCTCTGAGTCCTTTGGCTTTTAACACCAGGAGCTTTTTGCCTGGTAAGTGCATGCATTGGCTGGGTCCAGTGTGACCCTGTGGTGCAGAGAGACCACGCCTAATAGTCCAGGTCTCTGGATTCTTAAGACAAAAAAAAAAAAAAATCCCAGGCATCTGTCTTTGGGCATCTGTGAGCCTGGGACTCCCTCTTCTGGTGAAAGGAGATGAGGAGCCAGGAACCCAGCCACAGGGCCGGGCCCTGAACTGACCAGGGCCCATGTTACCCTCAAGCTAACCCCAGCTCATCTTCTGGGTACCCGGGATGCCTCGTGGCCATGAGCAGTCCAGACCCTTTCAGCATGCCTTGGCTTCCCTCCTCGAATAAATAAGCAAAAGGCAAGGCTGCATCTTCTCTGGCTCGGCACATTTCCGACCTGATGTGGGCCACTCCAGGGATCTCCCTGCCGCAGGACACCCAGTGGAGCTTGCTGTGTGCACCTGTGAGAGGCATACAGCAGCATCCAATGAACTCTGAAAAGCAGGAGAGCAAGTCAAAGCCGAATGCCTCCTATGCACGTGTCGGCTGTGGCCCAACAGCAGAAAGAGCAGGTGCCAACCATTTGTCCTATGCAAAAGGAGGAGCTGGGTGGCGGGGCCTGGCCACACAAAGGGGGTCATGAACGTCGATGCCCTCCAGGAGAAAGTGCTTCACCCCGTCTCAGGCTCGGTGAGAGATTTCTGAGCACCACCCAGAAGGCCTGGAGCACAGCAGGAAAAGTCAGAGGGCAGCTAAGGACAGAGGAGGAGGACAGGGCTTGCCTGGCAGGGACTTTGTTGTTTCTTGGTGCAGGGCTCCCAGGTAACCAAGCCTGGGACAGAGCTTGCTGGAGGAAGCTCCTATCCCTAATGGCACATAGCTCGGCTGACACTATTATTGTTCGAGGCGCCTGCAGGGTTTTTAACATCTGAAGGTGATGAACAAAGCTATGAGACTCCCCAAAGCCTTCCCCCCAGGTTAGGAAAGAAGCAAGCCCCAGTGGGGGTTTGGGGAGGAGTTGGGATGTGGCTGTTTCCTCCTTGCCCTGCATGAAGTCCTGGGCAGCTCACAGCAACAGTATGTGTCACACACACGCCTCCCAACACGTGCCTCGGAGAGGCCGGAAGAAGCTGGCCCGAGCCGGAAGCCACAGCTTGCTTCTGAACAAGCATAGCAGCGCCGGAAGTCAGCACTGCTTCCAGCGCCCCACTTGACACCCAAGACATACTCCGTCTGCGTGGAAGCTCACCAACTGCGGAGCAACTGGGCACAGCGGCATTGTAAAGGCATTTGCCAAATATTTGGCTGAAGAGAAAGTGACCAGCCCCTCCTGTCTCCTCCTGTCCCGTCACCATCCTATTTCCGGTCCTCTCCTGTGACTATGTTGTGGTTCCAGTTGGGGAGAGATCAAACATCCACCGAGAGCCATTCTCTGCATCTTCTTCACCAGGATCCCAGCCTCCAGATGCTATTCACAAATTGGCCTACCTAGGGACTACATTCCCCAGTCTCCTTTGCAGTGGGCTGTGATCACATGACCAAAGGCAGCTTGATGGCATGTGAGCCTAAACAACACGTGACTTCCTGCTTGTGCACCTCAGCTACCTTCCCACCTCTTCCTGTTGGGCATGGACTAAGTGTGGACATGGTGAGTCTGCTCTAACTAGTACTCCAGGACAGTGGTTCTTAGCTTCATCTGAGCATTGCAATTACTGGGTAAAGCTCTTGAAAAAACCTAGTGCCAGCAATGTGCCCCCAGAGGTTCTGACACACTTGAATCAACATGACCTAGGTGGGCGTTAGACCTTTCACATCTCCTCAGAGGATTCTGATGTCCAGACATGGTGAAAAAATGACCCTTACTAGGACCAGCTTTGTCCAGTATGATCAGGTAGGCCCTAGTCCTGCTGTGCCCACCTGCCTGGGGGTGAGCATGTGACAAAGACAGAATCACTGCCCTCATCCTGGGGTCATTTTCTTGCTGAATTTTAACCTGGAGTATGCGTGGCTTAGTTTCTCTTTAGGACCTTGAGGGCTTAGGGACGGAATCCAAAAACAGCAGTACCCAAACCCAGGGTGGAGAGCCCCTTATCTGTTGACACAACGGCCATCAGTAGACTGTGGTTACGGAATGCCTCGCCTTTAATGTCGTTTTAGATCAGCTTCGCAAATAAACATATCAAAATAGTCCTGTTCAGTTCTAATAAACACTCAGACCATCTTACTTCCTTGGTAGCAAAATTTCCTTACCACTGGAGGACACTTGCGAGCCCAGTGGAGTCGATTTGGTGGAACCTAAAATGAGCAATGCTGTTTAACTATTGATGTGGCTGTGGTTTTCCTGCAGGGCTCAGCAAGTCGAGGCTTCAACCACACCCCTACTCAGCATTCATTTTTAGAAGTGCAGCGAGATGACTCAGAAACCCCGGTATTTATGGACTACAAAAGGTTAGGTTGTCAGGGACTGGAAGCAAGTCAGGAGAATTCAATTCTGGTTGGACAAACCACTCGAGTGTTTTTCTCCTGTGTGACTCTCCATGATTCTGCTAAAGGTTATGGGCCACATGGCCCTTAATCTCACCTAACCCACTATCAAGCCAGTCAGGGTTCCAACAGGAACCTTTGGCCCAATACATGGAGTCTTGGAAAGAAACAAAAAACAAAGGTGTCACTTCTAGTCCAAGTGAAAACCAATGATGTGTCCAGGTACTGCCCAGCAGGTCCTGGGGGTACAAACAGAACCAGCCAAGAACTACTATTCTAGTTGAGTGGAACCCTGTAAGTGCTACTTAGCATAGCATCCCCAGGCCTAACACAGAGCCTGGTGCCTCACAGAGGCCCAATAAACAAATGTTGAATGAGCAACTTGGGGAAGAGATAGAAGTGGCCAACCAAGTGCCTACGGGCCTGCTGCTGCAGACACTAATGTGTACGGGGTAGAGTGACTGATGACCCAGCTGCTATAGCTTTGGGTCCACCAGCAGGTACATGATGGGACCCGGGTTCCCAGGGGAAAATGCATAGAGTGAGTATACAGGCAAGATCCCTCCCAGGAGATGCAGAACTTCTTAGACAACTCTGGCTCAAGAATGTCCCAACAGTCACCGAATTGTCTGAGACTTCTTCCTGCAAACTCTCCTTCCCCCAGGATCAGACTCATGACGGTATGAAGGTCCTATGCCCCTCTTCCAACGTCCATCCATCTGCTGCACAAATGTTTTCTCCAACCCGTTCCACCTTGGCGTTGGCTTCTTGGAAAGTCTGAACTGACACACCTGGGGCCCTCAGGCTGCCTTTTCCTAGTCCATCACACTTCCTGTAAGATGCCACACTTCCCTCATTCCTTCCTGGAGCTTGGGTGATGAGAGTGTCAGACCCAACCAACCTAGACTGGGAGGGAGTTCTTGGAAGTGAGTTCACATCCCTTTGCCCAGAAAGGTGCAGAGGACATGAGCAATAGGACCAATAAAGACCAAACACACTGACATCCGAAGCTGAGGCGATCACAGGTGATCCTTTTATTGGTGTTAAGGCAACAAGGAAAGTCAGCTGATCCATGTGCCTTTCTGCCCAAGGAAGGGAAAGTCAGGAGAAGAGGGTAGGGTTGGCCATGGGGTCGGCCATAGCAGAGTACTTTTCCCACAATGCACCAGCTCAGGTCTCTCCAACCCTCCACTGTCATTATAATGCACTTTGGTTGGAAATCGGGTGTACCTGGTGACCCCACCTACTGGTAGCATCCTCCTGCCCCTGACCCCTGGCTCAACCTAATTTCCCCTCGGCCTGGCTCTCCCATGGGCAGATGACCTCCTTTTCTGTGGCATGGTCACTTGCTTCCCCTGTCCCGGTGTCATCCGAGTCCATCAGACAGGCCCCACTGTCCGTAGGCACATCCATCTTGATCTGGAAGAAGCTTCAGAAGCAAAAAGAAAGCATGTGACAGAGAAGACATGTGACAGTAGATCCCACCCTCAACCAGTGACATTGACCATCTCCCCCTCCCCACAGAAGGTCAGCAGTGAAGGGGAAGCTCCCCAAGGTCAATGACAGTGCCCTAGGTATGACGCTGGCTCCAAACTAGGCCATTCCCTCTACAGAGCCCCCCCTCTCCCTGCCCCGGGAAAATCCAGTAGACACTCTCACCAGAATCTGACTATCTCCTAAGACAGCCAAGGTCACCCTCGCTTCTGTTCCCAGCACCTTCTGTCCCAGGGGCCCCTGCATGCTGCGCGGGGGTCACGCTCCCCAGGTAGCCATGGCAACCTAAGACCCCCCCATTGGACACTTCATTCTCCAAGTGCAAGCTGAAGCTAAACACGGGCATGTGTTGATTGCTTCAGACATGGCCACGACTGTCTCTCCCCACAGCCTGGCAAGGCCAGAGGCTGTTTCACAGGGTCTGCAGCATTTCTCTCTGCCTCAGGCATTTCAAGTACTTGGCAGAGGCTCACTTCTGCACCCAAAGTGCTACCTGTGGGGCTCTCAAAGATCAGTCCCACAGGAATCCAGCCCAGGTGGAATATTCTAGACCATGACTGGGTCAGAGGCTATGTACTTGGGCACCTGTGTCTACACAGACCCCACTGCTAGAAGAGTGCTCCTAGCCAGGCCCCAACAGGAAAGCTTCTGGGGGCAGAAGGCAAGGCAATGGGGCATGGACAGAAGCTTCTGGAACCAGCTTCTTGGAGCTGTGGTTCCCACCGGGCCCACTGATCTTCCGGTCCTTTACAAATAGAAATGGAGCAAAGTGGGTATGGAGCACAGAAGGGGGAAAGTCAAGAAAGAAAACTGCCTACTCTAGAAGAGAAGGCAGAACAAGCGACAATTCTGGAGAGCTCCCAGAGACCCAGGGCCCCGAGTGGCTGTTTGTGGCATCTGCCCTCTAAGACCATTCTCACTACCCATGCCCAGACCACAGCCACAGACTCCACACAAGCACGGCCCAAACCCCTCCTGCTCCTTACTTTGCGACTTTCTTGGGTTTCAGCCGAGGCAGCTGCTGGCCTGCATCCCCCAGGGGCTGCACCTTGCCGTGAGACACCGGGGGGCACTTGGGTGAGAGCCTGGCGAAGACCGGTGAGGCCAAACAGCCCCGTCTCAGCAACCTGCCGAAGGACAGTGACGCCCGGGCCTTGGGGGCTGCCCGGGGCTGGCTGCGGACCGTGGGACCATCACTAGACGCTTCGCTGCTCTCAAGGGCCGAGGGCCCATGGTGGGCATTGGATCCGCTGGCCTCCGCCTTCGGCTCCGAGCCTGAGGAGCCCTCCAAAGCCGCTCGGATGGGTGAGGGGCAGATGGCACTGCTGGGCCTCCTGATGAAGCGGCTTGGTGAGGGGAAAGGCCTCCTGGGGGACCGGCAGGAGGAGGAGGAGGAGAAGGGGCTGGATGGGGATGGGGGCACGCAGGTGCCGGTGTACACGGCCAGGTGAGGGCTGGGGGCCAAATGCTGGCCCGGCTATAGGGAAGGAAAGCAGAGAGCAGAGCAGTGAGCTGTGGGGTCCCCAGGCTGTCCTCTGCTAACGTGACCCTCTCCTGATGGCCCAGAGCAAGGCTGGTATGTCACTCCTGGGAAAGGAAGGAGTGACAGGGCTCCTAAAACCAGCTATAACAAGCACACAAGCTCATGGAGGTCTGCCCAGCACCTGCCTGTCCCGCTGTCTTGGCCACCATCCCCAGGGTGAGGCGGCTGTATCCCAGGCCACAGACTAGCCTGCCTCCAGGACTGGGATGCTGGTGTGTGGCCAGCCTGAATGCTCACTCCCCTGCAGCCCCAGCTACCCAGTGAGCAGTGCCTGCTCCCCACCACAGCCTTATTCCTCTTCCCCATGCATCCTTGGTCCCAACCTGAGGCTGGAGATGGCCAACACTTCACAGAGCCTGGGTTCGTGCCTGGCTGCCTCTTCTGGGTCTGAGAGCCCAACCTGGGTCTACCCTGCAACACCCTGGCAGGGACGGGGATCCAACACATTCCCAGAGCAAACCTGAGCTGAGCAAGAGAAGCCAGGAAAGAGAGCTGATCTTGAACCTGAGCTTACAGGTGAGAAGAGTATAATGATGGCTGGGCCAGAGGATACTTTCTGGAGAAAGGGGAAGGGCTACCTGGGCCACCATGGTCCCAGCGCCCCAGAGTACTCAGGCACATGTTCAGCCCAAAGACATGGAAGAGCAGTGTCCACATGGATGAAAGGGGGCGAGAATCACCACCTGCTGCGTGCACTCTTCCTACATGCCATCAGCCTGGGCTCACATCCCCCTCCCACAGAAGGTTGGCCGGCCGGAGCCTCATACCATGTCAGAATCCAAAGGGGCATGGCTGTGGGGTTCACTGGTCCTGGTACAGGGAAGACAGGTTCTGGGACTGCCGGGGCCAATGCCTCACCCAGAGAGAAGTGGAGGTGACTTCAGGGAAAAACAAACCCATTTTGAAACTGTCATTGCCCACAGTGGGGGAAGCCACCATCTGTGATGACACTGACATCCCATAATGGATAAAGTCCTGGCTGCTCCACTTAGAATCCAGCTCTCTGCTAATGAGCCTGAGAAAGCAGTGGAAGATGGCCCATATGCTTGGGCCCCTGTACTCATGCAGGAGACCCAGAAGAAATTGGGCTCCTGGCTTCCACCTCGTCCAACTCTAGCCATTGCAGGTATATAGGGAGTGAACCAGAAGATAGAAGAGCTCTTTCTCTCTCTCCCCCCACCCCGCCCCACCCGCTCCTGTTCACTGCCTTTCAAATAAATAAGCAAATCATTGTAAAAGAGGGAAGGATAGAAAGAAGAGAGGGAGGGAAGAGGAGCAGGAGGGCCATAGCATCATGGATGCCTGCTCCAGGGTCGAGGCCCGTCAGGCCATCTGGGTGGGCTTGGCCCAACCTGAAGGGGAGAGGGCATGTGAGTGCAAGAACAGCTTATTGAGGAAGAAGGAGGCCAGGGGGCCACCGGGCTGAGTCTGGGCCGATGGGAGAGAGTCTCCTTGCTCTCCTCTGGCTCTTCTGAGGCTCCAACAAGATCTTGCTCTGAAACAGCAGTTCCAGGTGCTGCCCCGAGTCCCGGACTCCCACAGGCCTTCAACCCCAGAGCCAAAGCGCAGCATCTGCCACAGGGTCATGTCCCTGACTCTTACCGTTGATGACCTACCAGTGCTACAATTAAGTGTGGGCTCAGCAATGTGAAGCTCTGGCCCGGCCCACAGTGGTAGGTCATTGCACCCACACCACAGAGCTCCTCGGGCATAAGCTCTGCCTCACAGAGGAGGCAAGCTGCCCACTCACTTCCCTAAGGAACCAATGCAAGAGTGGGGCAGCCCTTATAACCAGCCTGGCTGACTCCGGCGTCTGCATGCATCCCCATGAGCAGGGTGTCCCAGGAGGCCTACCGGTGAGCCACCTCAGCACCAGCCAGGGGCCTATCATGAACAAAGACCCCCCCCCCCAGTCCCACCGCAGACCCACTGAAGAAGTCTCCCAGGGGACATGTGGCCCAAGGAAAGAGCATCCATCTACCTGCTGCCAGGGGGCCCTGCATGTACTAAGCTTGAAGAACCTAGCTTCTAGCACTTCTCCTTCTACAGGCAGGTGCAGTCTGCGAGGAAGAGCAGCGACAGCTGTAGGAGCAGCAGGCACTTGGCATAGTACAGAAGAGGCCACTGAGCATGGCCTGTTCCATGTGGTAGTGTCCAGGTTCAAGCTCTCACTCCACCTCTAAGCCAGATCCCAGCTTCCTGCTAATGTACATCCCGGTTGTTGTAGTTCAACGAACTGAGTCCCTGACACCCAGATGGGATGCCCTGATTGCATCCCAGACTCCCTACTTCATCTTGGCTTGGTCAACCAACCACCTCTCTACGTGTGCCTTTCAAAACAAATGAAAATAATTTTAAAAATATTTTTGGAGAACGGGATTGGTGCCTTTACAAAGGGAAACATAGCCAGCTCACCTCTTCCACCAGGGGAAGATACAGCAAGAAAGCATCGTGAACCAGAAAGAGGGTCCTCATCAGGGCCTTTACCATGAACTTCCCAACCTTCAGCCCTGTGAGAAACTCCTGTGGTTTCTAAGCCCATGCTTCCTGTATTTTGCCATGGCAACCTCAATAAACTGAAACACCAAGCACGTCCCACCTGACTACCATGAGTCAATGAATGCTTGTGGATTGTAGCCACTGCTACTTAGTAACAAAGAGGTGGCTAAAGAAGAGCCTGGGGCCAGGTCTGCTCTTGGACTCATATTGCTGCCCTACAGTCAATGGGGTCCAGAGAATGCACCACAAACCCCTAAACAAGGAAAGGAGCTTCATCAACAGAGAGAGGAGCTTGGATTTATTAACTGGAATTCTGCTTCCTCAAAAGGTGTGATAACTTCCTACTATAATCCCACTTTACAAAGCCAGTGCTATGGCATACAGGCTAAGCCTCCACCTGTGGCACCAGCATCCCATATGGGAACTACTTCAAATACCAGCTGCTCCCTGTTAATGGCCTGGGAAAGCAATGGGGAATGGCCCCTGCACCCAGGCGGGAGACCTGGGAGAAGCTCCTGATTTCAGATCAGCCTAGCTCTGGTCATTGTAGCCATCTGAAGGGTGAACTAGCAGATGGGAGATCCCTCTCTCTCTCTTTCTGAACTCAGATTAAAAATAATCACACTTTAAATATTTTAACACTTGAGGCTCATGGAAAAGATGTCACTTGATCAAGATCCCACAGCTGCAGACCAGCCTCTCTGTAAACCCTCCCCTAGACCCTGTTACCTCTATCTTCTTTTCACCCCTGACTCCCAGCATCTTCTCTCTCCCATTTTGAGTGACAGAACAGGTAAGGAAGGCAAAAGCCACCAGCGTGCTTCACTAACCTAGCATAAGAGGATCCTTTCTTCTGGTAGACGGCCATTAGTCCAACTGGTCATGGACACTCTCAGTGGGATGTCTTTCCCACCTGCTCCCACCAAGGGACCATAGCTCTCACCCTGGCCCCTCCTACAAACTATGACCTTGAACTTGGAGACTAGTCTCTCCAGTCCACACCCCACCTGCCACTGATGTGAGGCAGCAAAGCAGTGGCATGCAAGACACGTGGCAAAGAAACACATCACAACAGAGACACAGTGAAGGAGAGCTTGATTTTGTACCATGCAGCGTTTTTATTGCACAAGGGAATGGAGGGAGGGAGGGGGGAGCATGAAATGAAGCAAGTACATTCCCACGAGAACACAGTACATGGCGTCTTCATGAACAGCAAAGCAAGTGGTGCAGTGAGAGGTGACTCAATTTCTGTCCTCGAAAACTGAGAACTTGAAGGAGACTTTGTGGCCCTTGAACCCCACTTCCCGGGAGCAGGAGGATGAGCCCAAGGCCACATCAAGATTCAGCCTAAAGGGTTCCCAACCCCACTTTCCAGGCCCTTCCCACCCATACTCCCCTTCCCCACGTGGGAGAAGACCCACATGCATGAACACACCATTTCTCCTTTCAGTCATCCCAGTTGACACAGTCCTGCCAAGAACTTCCCAGTTAGATCTGACCCTTCATTCAGCCACCAACTGGGACCCATCACTGCCCTGTTGCCGCTCAGTCCTCTCCTCGAGGCTGTAGACAGAGGCCACACACACACACTCTCCTCTGTTCAATTGCATCCTACGGTTCTCTAAGAGCTGCAAGGGCTACACTGCAAGCTTATGAAAGAGCAGAGAAGTTTAAAAAGGTTCATGATCATTTCTCCTGAGGAAATTCCTTCAATAATTAGCAGTAACAAGCCCCTTTATGGGCAAGCCAGGTGGAGGAAAGAAAGCACGGGCTTACTCTGAGACCACCAAACCATTAGGGATGATGATGGTGGTGGTGATGGTGTTGATGGTGTTGATGGAGAGAATGACAAAGTCAGGATCATGATGATGATGATGATGGTGATGGTGAGAATGGTGGCAGTGGTCCAAATGGCGATAGTGATGATGACACATTTATTGATTGTTTTCAATAGGCCAGGAACAGCTCCAAGTACTTTCCTCTGACCGTGTTTTCCCTGTCCCTTTTAATTAATACTGAAAAATCAAAGCAGTCTTTTCTCTAAAAGTCAAGCTGAAAACGAAACTCAACAAAGGATATCCTGGTACCTTGAAGAATAATGCATATCATTATTAATAATGCATATCATATATCAGGGAGGTTTGTTACATCATGTAAAGTAGCACTGATTAATGAAGATACCATCCAAGAATATGGCATAATAGATTGTCATAATGATTTTAATGTGCTGATAATATTATCCAAGTAAGTCCTAGTCTTGATGCTGAGATCCCAATGGGCCTCTTGGGACTGTTGTAAAGTTTGAGACACAATAACCATGGCAGCAAGAGCACAACAGTCACAGATGCTCTCACAAGACCTCAAAACTGGGGGAGGACCTGTGACCCCCTCCTCTGAGAAATATGAAAGTGTCCTGGAAGATCCCAGGCTTGGAAAGCAGAACCCTGACCAACACTTAACTTACAGGAGGCAGAAGTAACATCAGAAAAGAGCTGATATCTAAAGTTGAAATGACAGAGAAGACACACAAACATGAGAAGTCTGAATCTCTAGGAACCGTACCAACCTTTCCAGGTCCCAGCTGACCACTGGTCCTGGCCCCAGATACCAACTGCTCCAAAGTCCCTCTCGTCTCTCCAAATTTAGGCTCCCCTATCATGCCCTCCCTAGACATCAAGTGGCTTCCCTGCAAGAGAGCCGGTCACACTCTCGAATCACCTTTCTTATGGGATTGTAAGCAGCCAGGGGTATGTCTCTCACCCACAGATGAACCTGGGGGTGCTGAATGTCTTTGCTAAATGTCAAGTAGCTGTGGTAGAAAGTGGAAAACCGGTGCTGAAGCCTGACCCCTCCATGCACAGAAGCCAGAATTTTGGATTACAGTGTTGGAAGATTTCAAGAGAGAGAGAGACAGAAAAAGAGAGAGATCTGAGCATTCAACTTCAGCCAGACAAAATGCTCTCTACTCTCAACAGCTGCCTAGGAGAAATAACACCACCAGAGAAGCTGAAGGTCAGTGTCACACAGCCAGTAAATACCAGAGCCGGATTTACTTGACTCTGAAGTCCACACTCCTTCTCCCACCATTCAAAGCCTGTATTTAGGAAATGGAAACTTAACCTGGAAGCAAAGACAACTGTGTGTCACATAGAGCACCCGTATTCAGATTGGGGGGTCCTGTTTGTACAACATTTTGCTGCTTTCCATCAGTATGTACCTGACACAAAGCAGGTAGTAACAGACTTAAAGACAAATGAAACCATAAAAAAAAAAGATAAATGAAACCAAATCTGTGAGGCGTGGAAGAGTGGATGGAAGGATGGACAGATGAGCCAAAGATGAGCAAGACATAGTCAATACCTCCCAAAGCTCATGACACATTCAGCATCCCACCAGCAGCACTCTCACTACCACTTTGCCATGTGTGTGACCTCAGCTCTTGGGACATAACCAGTTGGGGGAGCAACCATCAGCCGGCTTCATTCCTGCCTCTCACACTTTCCCACTAACATGGCCCAAGAGCAGGAGAGCCATGCAAACACCCTCTGCTGGGGGTCCCAGGGCCAAGTCTGAACCTGCCACAGCCAAGCACAACAGATGCTTGATGTCTCACATTTTATCTTGAAACAAATTCATGTCCATTTTGCATTCTGTTTCATAAGATATTCACAATGATTTTCACGTGAATTTTTTAAAAATCACCTTATTTTCTTCTAAATCCTCAAGTAAAATTGATGGCTCTGGCCCCAGTCTGGGTATGCCTTAGAGTACATAAAGTCTGTTTGGAGGAGCACAGATCTGGTACCAACCCCTCATGCCACAAATGAGGAGGCAAAGAAGTCCAACGACTTACTCAAGACTATGAGGCTGCCCCACCACCAACAGCAGGAGAGCCAGGTAAACGTGCTCCCCTGGGCTCTCAGGCCAAGCCCGAACCTGCCACAGCCAAGCACTGCAGACACTTGATGTGTCACATGTGGCTACCCTTAGGCCTTCCCCAAACCCAGGCCTCATTCCACTCATCGCTCATCCGCTCACTCCCACGGCCATCCACTCATGTGACACATGGTCAGAGGTGTGACACTTCAAGTACTGAATGACATAAGTAGAATCCCTCACGTCACTGCCTGAACTTCCTGCTGGGGGTATCTTACCGCACTGTGGGACTTCAGCATCATGCGAGACAGATAAACAAAGCACAACTCTTGGGGCTCTTGTGGAGCATAAACTGGCCGGTTTAAACTCGTACATCATGTGGTTGGTAACTAGCAGAATGGGAAGTGTCAGCTCCCCTCTTTGGGGTTGGAAGAATTTTTTTTACCAGCTTGAAAGCAAAAAAAGCAGAACCCCCTGACAATCACCTAGAAGGTCTTCAACAACCTGGACCCTGACCATATCTTTCCCTTCTTCCTGTGCCCAGCACTCCTCCTCCTGGCCTTCCCATTCACTGAGTCATTTCTACCTCCGGGCTTTTATGCACGTGGTTTCCTCTCCCTGGCTCGTTCTGCCTGCCTGGTTCATTCCTTGTGTGATCAGCTCTTTCCTACACTTACAGAGACATTGCTCACAGATCTGGTGCCAGCTGAAGAGGGCTCCAGTTCTTCACCTTTCCCTGTATCCATATTTCTTCCCAAGATACTTTGAAATGTCTCTTACTAAACAGTTTGAGTTCAAGTCCCCATCCTGTAAATCTAGGCTGGCTTTGCGGCTTGCTTTTGACTAAAGACATGAAGAGACCAGGTGAAGGCTTTGGTGTTTCCATTCTTCAGTGATTGCAACTCAGCCATCACCATGGAACATGCTAGGCCAGGCTATTGGAAGATGAGGTTGTTGGAAGCATGAAATGTGGGAAGCAGAAAAGGTCCACTCCCACTTGCCCCAGCTCAGATCACTATAGACCAACCCTTGCACATGTGGGTGAGCCTAGTCAAGATCAACACAGCCACACAGATGACCCTATACATTAATAATAAACGCTTACTGCATGCCTCTCTAGTTTTGTGGGTGCTCCTTATATAGCAACAGCCACCTGATTATTTATTTCCATTTTTCCAGTCCGAGACTACAAGCTCCATGAGAAGGGGGCTGTGTTTGGTTTACTCACCCATTCCTTACAGGCAGTAAGTAATCAATCAGTGTGCTGTATGAATGAGTGAGTACCCCCTGCCGGATACAATGTTACACAGGTGTGTGAGGTAAGCTTTACTTCAAGCATGATCTAGCTCTCACATGGTCAGGGTTTGAGCTGTCCTCTCCCTCCCCCTCCGGCCACAGGGCTGACCTAATCCATAGCTTCTGAACAAGGAAATATCATCTAGAAGATCTCCTAGAAGATATTATCTCTGATCCTGACCCATGTGGAAAACATCCCAGATACTTAGCATCTCTCTACCCCTAGAGGAAGATGCCAGTGCTTGCTTCCCTGGCCAGAGTCCCTCAATCCTACAGCTACTTAGCAAATCTAGCATCCACAAGGGGATAAGGAGGTGACAGAACAGCCCACCAAATCTTCAAGTACCTCTGGCTAAACACAAGCACAATAGGAGAGTGGTCTTAGTAGGGTCTCTGCAAGCATCGCCTACCGAGGAGCCCAGGGGAAGCATCTCTGCAGGGGACTTTAGCTACCAGCCCTCTAGCAGGATCCCAGACTGTCCTAGGAACAGAACTGAAACTGGAAAGATGGGATGAGTTCATAAAGCCCTTTCAAATAAATGCCCTTAAAAGATCTATGCTTTGGGGGTACAAAGAGACCTTATCAAATTTTTCTAAAGCAGAACAGTGAAATTCAAAGCAACTTGGTTTCCCTATAGCTCTCACTGCAAGAACTCACAAAGACAAGACAGGTAGACACGCAGCAGCCACTCATTCAGTGATGCCCCTCCTCGTTATTGCCAACCCTGTCCCTCGGTTGGAGTAATATTGGGAAGTCTACCACGAAGGAAGTTAAAGGAATATGGGATGGACCTATTGACTCCCCTGCCCCATTAACAGGGAAAAGAATCTCCTGACTCTGGCCCTGCCTTCCTTTGCTTGCCACTCCTCAGTGTACACCCTGGAAACCAGAGATCTATTTAGGAGGTAGCTCCTTCCTGAGCTGGCTCCTGCGGTCCAGCCTGCTCATGACCTGGGTGATGTCCACAGTGTTGGCGGCTTCACGAGCCTTCGCTTCTTCTTCCAGCTGCCTCAGGATGACGGGGCTTGGGCTGGAGCGCAGGTGCCGCCGCATAAAAGGGAGGGTTGCACTGGAAGGAAGAAGAGACCAGTCAAAAACCACACTGCCTGCTCAACAATAGCATTGTCACACCTGACAGGGATTGGGCTCCAAGGTGAGGGTCTCGATTTCTCCCCTCATTTTCCCAGGGCACCTGGGATGAGGTCTTCAGAGCCATGTCCAAACTTCACTATTTCCTCCCCCTTGGAAGACAAAACCAGTTGGGTACCAATTCCATCAGCCTTTTGGTTAAGCACAGGGAAGCTCAGATGGCAGTGATACATCAGACTTCAGCCCTCCCCAGGATTTCCAAATGACAGAAGTCCCCAGAACTCTCAGGGAAGAGGACTCCCAGGAAGTAAGGCGTAACCCTAGGGGTCTCACCTGCTATGATGAGGAGGAAGGCTTGGAGCCAGGTCTCCTTTGTCCCGGGCAAAGACAGATTTAATACACTGCCCTACACCTGCAAGTCTTCAAGATAATCATACTTCCTTCCCCTCCTGACTTGGATGCGAGTAAAAGCCCCACACTGCACAAAGCGATTACATGGAATTCTCGCTCACAGTACTAATGCCAACAGGGCTAGACCACAACACCTCCCTCCACAGCCAAGAGCTTCACTATGTTCTGTGCCTCCCCAGGCATCCAAAGCCACAGCCATGCCCTAAGGGGTGGAGGGTGAGGTGGGGAAACAACTGAATTCTCCTGTCTGACTCAACTTACTAAGTATCTGGAGGGAGGCGTACAATCTCCCTCCCTCCTTCCCCGCACTCCTTTTGGCAGAACTTCTAGAGCTTTTACCACCCTTTCTTGTGGTTTTAAGAAGCTTTCAAGCCCCCAGGGACCCTGAACTCCCTTCCTTACTGGGTAAACCTAGAATAGCACCACAAGCTCTCTTTTCTCTCTTTTTTATAACAGGGCCATTATCCTCAAGAACGAAACCAAGTTGGTTTTCTCTCTTTCTCTCTCTTTCTCTTTTTAAGTTTCTTTTATAAAGGCTCTGGTCCAACCACCCCTATTTGGAATCGATTGAAGATGCTGGAAGGGAGCCCAGTGTGGGCTGAACAGGCAAACAGGGGAACATTGACCAACCGCAAGGGGACAGGACATACTGCTAGAGGTGGCAAATCTCCCCTGAAGTCATACAGCTTTGAAGCTGTCACTGGGTCACTCTTCTGAATATTCAATCTCTATATCCACCCATCCCACCCTCCTCTCAAAGAGCATTCAACCTGCTCCCAGAAGTTCACTTCATCCGTCGTCCCAGTGGATCCACAACAGAACCTGACCCACATGTCCAACAAGGGGAGAATGTCAGTGGGTTAGAAACCAAGTCAGTGGGTTTCTAAGACAGGTGCCCTAACAGCTGCAGGAATGCTTGAGACCTCACTGGCCCTTTCCCCTAAGGGGCTAGCATTTCCCCTCGGGGCATGGTCTGCTATTCTATTCTCTCTTAAGGAGCCAGAAGTTACTGGGCTGTCACTAAATATATTCCCACAGACCAATCTGGAAGCGGAGGCGTGTAGCAATTTTAAAAAATCCAATGAAATGCTTCCATGTGTGATAGGGTAATTATCAGTGTGATCATCAAAACTCCTCTCACACCAGCATTTGGGAAATAAAACTCACTGGAGGTAATTACAAGGAAGACTCGCTAGAGTGATGTCAGGACGTTAAGAAGCAAATGAGGCACTCCCGTTCCCCAGCCCTCAATATTTTCATCAAATATCTCAATAACAGCCATTCAGCTGCGAAAGATCCTCCCATCTCTAAGAGGGAAACAGCAGGTGGCGGGCAATTATAGACAACTCCTCTTGCCTCTTCTTCGTGGCTTCCTGAGGTTCAATAGCCTTGGCCAGCATTTCCTTGTAGATTGGAGATTTTAAATAGCGAGCATAAGAATCCTAGTGGGAGCAAGAGAAAAACAGCTATTATGAGCAGGGAGGGATGTTTTCGTTCAGGCGCACACACTCCCTGCTCTCCAGCCCTCCCTCAGCCGCCAAGTGGCCACGGCCAGAGAATTCGGGTTTATTGTGAGAAAGCCATTGAGGGAGGAGTGAAGAACTGCAGGGGTGGGAGCCAGCCAGGCTTCAGGGGTGTCAACATCTCAGGCTGAGCCATCCTGAGAGCTGCACTCTTGTAATCCCAAACCTCCACTTTGGAGGACTCCAGGGAACCCCACATGAGTGACACCAAAGGGTATCAACCTCGCCCATGCAAAGCCTTCTTCCAGGAAAATAAGCAACCATGAGTAAGGAGCCCACTTCTAGCCCCCTACTATCCAGGCTGCCTTCTGTTGGGGACATGAAAAACACCAAGAAAATAATGGGGCCTTGCTAATCCTCCCTCTTCAAGCACCATTTGAGCACCAGTTCATGCTCTGGCTGCTCCACTTCCTTGTCATCCAGCTCCTTGCTTGTGGCGTAGGAAAGCAGCAGAGAATGACCCAAAGCTTTGGGACCCTGTGCCCACATGGAAGACTGGGCAGAGGCTCCTGGCTTCTGACTTTGGATCAACTCAGCCACTGCAGCCACTTAGGAAGTAAACCAAAGGATGGAAGATCTTTGTCTCTGTCTCTCATTTTCTCTACAAATCTGACTTTCAGATAAAAACAAATAAATCTAAGGAAGGAAGGAAGGATACTAATAATTTGTGAGACCCCAAAGCCTGGATCCTCTCACTGGAGTATTTTCAGAGCCCTCCATACGTGAATCGGCCCCACTCGTGCCCCACGACCAACAGAGCCTGGCAGCTCAGCCTTCAGACCCAGGCAGAGACAAACCAGCGTTCATGCTCCCACTCTGCTCAGACCCTGGAGAAGCAAAACCCCTCCACCTCGTGAACTGTCTCTAAGGACAAATCGCTTTGCATGGCAACTGCACTTGGCAAGCCCTCACCCTACGCTGGCCGTTACAGCACTTTTCATTATCAACACATCCCAGTACCAGCACAGTGGGTTCTGCCTGTCCCCACCCCCTTCCCCGCGTCCACAGAACTTTACAGGAGCAGTGAGGGATGGAGGAGGTACAGTTGGAGTTGGCTCCCCCGTTCCCGTCCCCAGTCCCTGTGTGTCACACAGACCCCGCCTACCTTCTTCATGAGCATGTAGATGTGCGTTTGCGCGGCATCCAGCACGTAGCGGTGGGGGTGCCTCAGCCCCTTCACTGTGATGTCCATGGTTTTTCCGTCTATGTTTATCCATCGCCTGGCTCCTGGGGCCAGAAACAGCCTGGTCGGGGGAATGGAGGAAAATGTTAGCAAAAGCAGCTATCCCAAGTTTGTGGGTGCCTGAGAGGGAAGGAGGGGTAGATGTGACTCAGGTTCCCCGCATTGAGTGAGGGGAGCCCCTTTCTCTAACAGAAACTCAAGAGTGTGAGCTTCCAAAAACACCATCAACGACCTGGCCTAGAAGCAAGGACACCACAGTCCCAGGGTCAGCAGCTTGACCATCCCAGTCCTTAGGGGAGAGAGCCCAAGGAGGTGGGGCCAGCCAGCGTCGACCATGGGAGGGACGAATCAAACTCCCATTGAATGCCTTCTGCCAGGATGCTGGGGCCACACGGGACTAGCCCAAGTCCCTCGCAAACAGATGTTCTGGGAGCTCTGTTCCCGGTGAGCTGTGTCCACGTGTTTCACCATGACTCCCCAGCACTGAGTGTGGAGGCAGCCCCTAACCCCAGCCTGCTAAGGGCATCCGGTTAGACACCGAATTCAACCACACTCCTGAGTCCTGTGGCTCCAGCTGGGATTCCAGGCACACACAATTCTCGCAGCAGGTCCCATCTTCCTAGGCTGTGCATTACAATGTTGGAACTCAGACTAAGACTCACATCCCGGGGGGAGTGCAACGGGGGAGGAGGCTGCTACGAGGACGTAGGCAGCAAGTCCTGACATCCAGAATTCAGAGTTGTGGAGAGGCAGGCAGCTGCCCACTGCCATAGCTCCTTCACGGTCACACAGTCCAATCCCCACCCCATCCAGCTCCAATCCCATTCTTCCTGGTGCTCAGAGCCCCATCCCACGGGACGAGGTGAGCCAACTTGCAAGACAGAATAAGAACTCCCAGAGCAGGGGAGAAACAACACCTCAAGCTTGTCCCTTCAAAATCATGAGCACTGCTCTGAACACTGGAGTTCTTCTTGCTTCAAAGGGGTCGGGGAAGCCGCTCCAGAAGGGGCAGACCGCCTGGGCTATTGCCGCAGCCCAGCACCTCAGTCTGGAGGCTGCCAAGGGCTAGCTCCAATCCAACCTGGGACTTGGGCTCCAGGAGCCAGAGCTGAAGGCCCCAGTGTACACCACACCAGTGCAGATAAGATCGACACAGAGGCGACCACAGCAAGACCCCAGCATCCAGCAGGCTTGCTCAGGGGAGGAGTTGGGCAGGGAGCAGGTGCAGCTTTCAGCATCCTTGGTGGTTCCCTCTGAAAGCAGGACTGACCACTGGAAGCAGGACTGACCCTTCTGAATGTGAACCCTTGGCTCTCAGATAAGACAGAGGAAAGAAACAATTGTTACACCAAGAGCATGGCACCCAGGGCCATGAGGTGACAAACACAGGACGTGCCCGATAGTAATTCCCAAGCTGGGGTCACTATGCCAGACTCACTGGGGTGCTGGGGGGCCTGCTCTGCCTCACAGTCCTAATGTGGCAAAATAAGCTTCTCTCTCTCTCTCTCTCTCTCTCTCTCTCTCTCTCTCTCTCTCAATCCAAGGGACTTAGTTAAAGACAAAGCTCTGGCACTGTCATTCAAGTGACTGCTCCCCTAACCTTTTAGACACAGCCCTCCAGGAGCAGCGGGTCCCCAGGCCTTCCAAGGCAGCAAGGCAGGACTCATCGTGAGGCAGGTGCAGGGTGCAGCAGGCCCGGCCAGCCCTGCTGGGTGCTGCCTGCCCAGCTCTGCCTCCAGCCTCACACACAGGAACCCCCCGCCCGTCAGCCTGGCTAATCCTCACTTGTAAATCTCCTCCGCCTTCTCCTTGACCTTGGACTGATCTCCGTACTTCAGATCTTCACAGGCTTCCCAGAATCCCAGATTCTCCCCTGCACGGAGAGGCGGGGGTCCACGCACATGAAAGCAAGTTGAGAGAAGAAACAGAAGAAACAGGTCAGGTGGGAGAGGGTCCGTTCTCCAGCCCAGGGTCACGTTTTTCTTCCACAAGACAAGTCAAGTCAGACTAAACCCTCCTGGGGTTTGGGTCATCTCACTCCCAGGGCCTGGGCTCTTGTCATTGCTCCCTGCGTGTTCTGGGAAATACAGGACAGGCACCCAGCACAGTTTGCCATCACATGCTCACGTGGCAGGTGCCACTCATTCTCCCAGTAACACACAGGTGAGAGTTCGTAACACTCGCCCCTGCAGCCTGTCATTTTCACAGCCCTAGAACGGTGCCTGTACAAGTTCATGTATGGTAAGGCTTGTGAACGCCACACCAACGCCACACCAAGGGCCTTCTGCATCAGGGCCCCTGTGACTTGGCTCACGTGTCTGCACGTGAGTGCCGCCACCTCGGGGTGGACAAGACTTAGTGCAGCGATTAAGACCCGGGTTAAAATGCCTGTGTCCCACCAGCCCCCCAGCTCCAGCTGCTGACTGCAGCTTCCTGCTAACGTAGACCCCGCTGGGTCTGGTCCAATTCACTGGATTCCTGGATTGCCTTGCCGGCTCTAGGCTCTGGCCCCAGGTACAGGTTGTTCTAAATCCTTGGGAAGTAAACCCACAGATGGAATACGCATGCACTCTCCCATCTCCTTGCCTCTCAGATAGATCATTCTGAAATTAAAGGAGCAGTCATTCACAAAACGTGGAAGCAACACGTAGACAGGAAGTGGTGTGTATGCTCAGGGACACAGCTTGCAGAGGGATGTTTAGGTACACCCTGCTATTGCACACGACCCCTGAGGCCATGGAGCTAAGTGAAATAAACCAGTCACAGGGGGACAATTACTGCTTGATCCCACTTACAAGAGGTACCCAGCACAGTCAAATTCACAGAATCACAAAGTGGAATCATGGTTGTCAGGGTGGGGGAAGGGACAAGACACGAAGGTGGCGTGTGATGGGCAGGGAGTGAGGTCGAGCAAAAAGGAACCGTTCCGGAGACAGCGGGGCTGAGGGCTGAGGGCTGAGGGCTGCACTAGCAGGGACCCTCATGCCGCCGAGCCAAGCGCTGAGCAATGGCCGAAATGCTCTCGTTGCATATATGTCCACCCCAAAATTGAGATGAGTACCCCAAAATGTGTTATTCTCACAAAGCCAAAAAGATCAACGAATAAAATGCCCAAGGTGGAAGAGTAAGAAAACAGAATGTGACAACAGAATACCTGCATGCATTAACAGGAGTAACGCTCATCCACACGCAACAGGGACGGGATCCCAGCACTCTGCTGGCTAATGCAGGCGAGAGGCCACAGGTCCTAAGATCCCATTCCTGTGACATGTCTAGAAAGCAAACCTGCAGGCAGGAAGTAGATTCGTGGTGCCTAGGCCTGAGCTGGGATGGAGAGGCAAACGGGGAATGACTTCCAAAGGATAAAGGAGTTGTTTTTGGAGGAATTAAGACTTTTGGGCTCAGACAGTGGTGGCGGCCATATAACTTTGCTGAATATAGTAAAATGCACTGAACGGTACACTTTTTAGAAAGTGAATTTCATTGTATGTGAATTGTCTTCCAATTTAAAATGTTTTCAAATGAGTAAAACAGTTCACCTTTCTTACACCTACCTGAAACTTTGTGAAACACAGTTTAATAATGCAGGTAAATCTTTTTCCAGGATCCCCGTTGTTACTAAGGAATGCCTGCGTGAAGTTCAGAGTGTAATGTATCATTTCGCCACTAGATGGCACTATGTCCACTGATTTGTCAACCTGCACAAGCCCATTACTTTTCTCAATTTTATTAAATCAAGGCAATTGGGCTGGCACAGGGAGCAGGATTTTCAATAATCCATATTATGATGCAATAATCTGCACCAGGCAGTCAACCAGATTAATGGCTTGTCCAGTAGGATTCATCACAGGAGCCATCACACTGGCAAGCGGGGTCTTGTATAATGCAAGCAAGCCATCTCCCAAGCATACACCCCGTGGCGTCAGCAGGGAGGAAAAGAAAATACCACCAAAGCAGAGGCTGCCAGCATGGTGGAACGGCAGCGGAAGGTGCAGCTAGAAAACAGAGGGTTCGATCTGGTCTCTTGGTGTTCCCAGATGGTTCTCGGTGCAGTGTAGAGAAGTCCCAAGTACACACCGGGATGGGAGGAAAATGTGGCCCTGCACACCCCGCTGAAATCCACACACTCTCAGGCCTTGAAGGAGCTGGGGGGTTGGGGAACGTGGAGGAAAATCTTGACTACACCTGAAGCTACAGAAGGAAGCACCTGCCTTGCAGCCTGGGCAAACCTTTGAGGACATCGGCTGCGACTCCACATTCAAGAACTAGCCTCTAAAAGGAACAAAGAAAAAGGGGGGAGAGAGACGCACCGCTGAACTCCTTCTTGAGAAAATACTGGAAGCTCTGCCGACCCTTGGGGTCTCGGATCAACTCACTGAAGTTGAAGGCCCATCGCTCCACCCGCATCTTGGTTGGGATCTCCACCCTGCAAAGACAAGACCTGTGAAGGAACCTGGCATTCCACCCGAGGCAGGTGCCCCAGCCATGCCCTGGGTGCCGCCGACCTGCACTGGTCCCTCGGGCCAGGGCTTGACACAGCCCTCCTCCTCCTCCCGCCACCCACCCTCCTGCACAAACACACAATCTACAGAGTCACTTGCTGGACAGGTGCGGCCTCAGAAAGACCCCTGGACTCACGTCCCAGGGATGGTAGCCCAGAGGGGCTGAGGACACTACCACATGAAGCCCCATTCTCAGGCTCTGCTTAGCCTTCCTGGACAAAGAATTTGAAAGCCCCCTACAAGGCCTGGTAACAGCCTACCAACTGGCTACAGGCAGCTCGGGTTGGCACCCAGGACCAATAGGAAATTCTAGAACAGCAATAGTGATGGTTGCCTAGCACACATGGAGATTCACAGTAGCATTATCTGTAGCAGTTAAAAGGCAGGACCAACCCCAAAGTCCACCGACAGATGCATGCATAAACAAAACGTGCTCCCTCCATGCGGTGCGAGGCATTCAGCCGTACATGGGTCTGAAGCGCTGCTACGTGCTCCAAAACAGAAAAACCCTGACAACAGTGAGTGGGGGAAAAGTCACAAAGTATGACGCATCACACAGTTTTGTTGATATGAAACCTTGGTAGCAGACACATCCCTGGAGGCAGAACAGAGGTTGCTGAGGGATGGAGGGGCACAGGGGCTGGAGGGCTGGGAGTTGCAGCTAAGGGGTGCAAGGATTCTATCTTGGGTGATGACAACGTTTTAAACCTGATTGTGGTGGATGACTGGCTGCATTCCGAACATTATTTTTTAAAAAAAAAATCTGTAGCATGTGAATTATAATTCAAGAAGCTATTTACAAAAAAAAAATCAAATGTTTCCTATACATACAATTTGGCATTTAAGTCCCAGAACTGGGTATCATCTGTTATCCAAGGATTGCTGGGCAAGCAGCCTGACGTGATGGCATCATTGGACAAGAACTGCTCGCTGTACTTGACGATCCTGCAAGGCAAAAGGAGAACAATTTTCTGGGATTCCACTCAGCATTTAGAAGATGAAATCAACAGACCAGCATGCGCCGCTTCACGTCCCCCCTTCCAGTTCCGGTGGAGTTCCATACTTCCTACTGTCTTCTTAGAAAACTGCGCCACAGCCCCTAGGATGGACAGGGATTTGGCAAGAACTGACCCTAGTCAACCTGGATAACAGAACATTGGCTCGTGCTCTGGTCTGCTTGTCACCTCTGCCCCTGGTTGATTAAAACTGAACAGCCTCTCTGCAGCTCATCAGGAGTCTTTCAAATCCAAAGCAGACTCAGTTTGCAAGTAATCAAACAGGTGTTTCCATCTTGGAGGAAAGAGTTGATCAATGGTCACAGATTGGCTGAGATGCTATAGTCAGAATACGCATCAGAATAATACCTAGATTAGAAAACTAAGACCCTTTCTTCAAAAACCTGGGCTATAATTGAGCTGTGAAGTCTTGTCCCATGACTTGGGACAAGAGTAAATTCTTGAGCCCAACAGAGTGGCCTAGCAACTAAAGTCCTAGCCTTGAACACGCCAGGATCCCATATGGACGCTGGTTCTAATCCCAGCAGCTCCAATACCCATCCAGCTCCGTGCTTGTGGCCTGGGAAAGCAGTTGAGGACAGCCCAAGGTTTTGGGATCCTGCACCCATGTGGGAGACCTGGAAGGGGTTCCTGGCTCCTGGCTTCGGATCTGCATAGCATCGGCCGTTGGCACTCACTTGGGGAGTGAATCATCGGACAGAGGATCTTCCTGTCTCTCCTCCTCTCTGTTTATCTGACTTTCCAATAAATAAGTAAATCTTAAAAAAAAAAAAAAAAAGTAAATTCTTTCAAGTTGAGTCAGACTTCCTGTGTGAGCACCTTTCCTGGTCTTTGTCTCCGCTCACAGGTAGAGAATGAGGTCCACCAAGTTTATGAATGGCATCTGCTGGGTGAAGTCTGCCCAAGGTCATGTGTGCTTGGTTGATCGAGACCCAGGTCCTTGCAGCAATCCAGAACCCGGGGTTTGCAGAACACAAGCCCTTGGCCTCACTGCTCTCCAAGACTCACTCTTCAGACCCTCCAGCTGGAGTGGGAGACACACAATTGGTGGTCAAGGACAAATTCTGATGATGTCAAAATTACGGTTCTGAGGCCCTGAGACAAATGGAAATTGCAAAGCAGGTCTGAGAAGCACCCAGCGGATTTTTTCTTCCTGCTTGATTTTGTGCAACCAGATTTTCAGAACCTCACAGTAAGTGGTATCACTGGCTTTATCATACAGCACCTCCTCGCATCACACCCCAAGCTGGGTGTCTGCTAAGGATACAGGTGCATTCCTCATCTGGCACCTGGGTTTAGAAGCAGCAGTAGCAGCAGGAGTCACTGAAAAATGTGGGCTAGACCAGTGTCACTCTCGGACAAACTAGATCTCTGGAAAGATATAAAATGTCTTGAGGATTTTTACAAGACCCCCATCCTTAACCATACAGGCCAGTAGGTACCAGCCAAACCAACATGTGCAGTCTCAAATAATGCCATTACTCAAGTCTTCCACATTAGAATAAGTAAGTGACTTGCACTTCCCTAGGGAAAAGTGAGCTTACTTTTGTGTGTGCAAGGAGGTATCAACCCTGGCAAGGTGGTCCCATCAACCCGACATTTCAGAAGCACAACAACTTCGGGTGTCTCCCAGACACTGCCCAACAGAGGCAGGCTCCAAGTAGACGGCAAGTTCAGCCAATCAAACAGAAGTTTCCAATTTGCCATAATTGGATTTGAAATCACAGCCCACTAAACTAATAAGGATAATCCAGAAATCCCCAGTAAACTTGAGTGGGTAGTTACAGGAACACAGGCTACCTTGTATCCTTGCATTTCCTGCTTCCCCTTCCACAGACACCCACATCAGTGGACTCCAAGACATATGGCAGACTTGGATAAGGCCTCAACAACGCCTGGCTTTGCTCAGCCCGAAATGGGAGCCGCAGGATGTAGGGAGTGTAATCTCCCTGTAACAGAGAGACCAGTTCTGTCCTCATAGCTCTTGGGGAAGCTTCATCGTGGCTTGTCAAGTGAGCCTTCAAGAGGAAGTTCTCCTCCTGCCCATGTTGTACTCACACACTAGCCAGACTAAGAAACCAGGGACGTACCCTCCAAGCGACACTGAAGACTTCACTGTAGACCTCATCAAGGCCTGCTGGTAATACATGATCTGGAAGAGACAACATCGTTAGGAGAACACCGCCCCACCGCATGCGTCACCTCCATGTGGCCCCCAGCCAGCCACCTTGGCATCGACAGAACTCAACTTATGCCCACACAGATAGGTGACCCCAAACTCCAAATGAGTGACCCCCTCAACCCATCATGTTGAGTTCTTTTAAAAAACTTGTTTTCTAAGAAGATCCATGGACAGCTTGGCTTTACCCTGATGCACCTCTGGCTGTGCAAGCAGGAAACACCCCACCCCCCTCATATTCCTGCTCCGCAGCCCCTGCAGAAGCAAGTCCTGTCCTTGTTCCATTTTCTTCACACCGACATCCATGGACCATCCCACCTCAACAGCCCAGGCTTCCCAGGGTCTCTCTTGGGCTCCAGATGTAAGCTTTGTCTAAACAACTAGCCGGCTACTCTGATAGATTCTGAATGGCAGTGTCATTGCAGGAGCGAGGGCCAGCTCCACGCCCTGGGCTCCCGTGGTCACCTCCCTCTGCCAGGTGTCTTCAAGGGGCAGGGCACCTGTAAGCACCAGCTTACAGAAGAGGCTTTGTCCTTCCGTGCTGCCCATGAACTTGGGAGCAATTCTTTCAACATGATATACAGTTTTCATTTCATGACTGAGTCAGAACATAAAGCCAGCGTGCACGTGGTTTATTAGAGGATTTAAAATCCAGTTTCCCTGGAACAAGAAGACAAATTACCTCCTTCCTGACAGACGTGACTGTTTGTTTCTGTAAAACAAAGAAGCAAATCCGTTAAAGAATGCCATTAAATCACTGTAGTTCAATGTCCATTGGAAAAACAAGTCCTCCCCTGAATAAATGGTCCGTTCTTGTCATCTCCCTGTCACATCTCCTTCGTGGTATTCTGTGCAACCATTGGAAAATACTATCAATGAAGACATCTGGTGGGGGGAAGAGAATAATTTGCTATGACAACCTGAGGCTGTTCTCCTAAAAGTCACGATGAATTGAAAACAAAGCTTGAGGTCACTCCTCTCCTACCGGAGTCCTCAGAGCCATCTCTGCAGCGAGAGGTTGACAAGTGGGGCAGAGAGGACTCTTCATGTCTCACTGTGATCCAGAATGAGATGAAGATGGGGGGAACTCACACGGAGCTTCAGTTCCTTCTCACAAGGGGGCGATGAAGATACACAGTGAGGTTCGTTCCCTGGGTCTTGATCACAAGCAAACCAGCATCACACGTTGAAAATCAAAGCGACAGTGATGAGAACAAAGCACACAACTGAAAGATGGGAGACGAGCAGCCCCTGTGGTCTAAAGCCAGAGATGAGCTGCACCGTGGACATTGCATCAGACCCAAGCCCTCACTGAAGGCCGTGGAGCAAGCTTCCGCTGGGAGGAGCCGTGAGATGTCCCTTCCTAGAATGTTTTCAGTTAGGACTGAAAAGGATGGCTTCAAGGGGCTCCACATTTAAACTCTTAGAAACGTCTGGAAATCATTCAGATCTCTCTGCAACTAAAACAGCTGAAAGAAACACATCTCCTTGGCACCACTTTTCTCTCCCATGCAACTCTTTAAAGCTGGGCACACTTACTGCAGTTTCCCTACATCTGGTTGTGTCCAAGGTTTGCTCGGTGCTGAATTTTCTATTTCAAACCGAGCCTCTTTATTGCCGTGTAATCCAACCAAGTTTTCCTTTGAAGCAGTTGGAAGTCCAAGTAGGACACGACTGCCCTTTCACCAGTTAAAAAAAAAGCCGTGGCCCCTGGTCGTGTGGTCTCCTTTCTAACCCGTGCCGATTTTTCTCTTGCCTCATTAGCTTGCTTTTCACACACAATCTGTTTCCTGGGTGTAGGGCATTGGGAGAGTTAATTCAGAAAGCCCCGGTGGCCTCTATGCTTCGGACTCACATATCTTTTCTATTTCATAGCACGCATCACAATTGTCGTTAGATATTTGTGTGGTTGAAGCATCACCGTTACAGGACAAACATTCAGCACAATCATTAAGACACTGCTTGAGAAACCCGCATCCTACATCACAGGTTCAAGTTCTCATTCTCCCACTTCAAATCCAGTTTCCTGCTAAAACGCCCAGGAAGGCAGCAGGCAATGGCTCAATCATTTGGGTCCCTACCACCCAATGAGAGTCCTTGACTGAGCTCCTGGCTCCTGGCCTCAGCCTGGCCCCAGTCCTGGCTGCCACAAACATTTGCAGAGTGAACTAGCCGATGAACGCCTTCTCTCCGCCTGCCTCTCTACTTTTCAGACAAAATGAACAGAAACAAATTAATTCACGTTTAAGGCACAGGCGGCCATGTCTGTCTTTGCTTGCTTTACATCTGAGGCAGACCGCTCAATCCACATTCAACAAATGGTAACTTCTGGGTGCCCAGAGGCCTAGGAAAGCAAACATCTTTTATTTCTAAGCTTAACAGAATTTTTCCTTTTGAAAATACTCCCCAAATGATCCAACTATTTTGGCAGCCACTCTTACTGTTTGTCTCCATTCTCTTGGCATCTTGTTTCAGAAGATGCATGTTTAGATAGAAAAAAGACCCTGGGGGCAGCAGACTCACATCCAAAGTTAGTATAATCAAACCCTCTTGTTGAAGCCTGGTGGGAGTGGATAGGTTACTAAGCACACAGACTGAGTATCTCTTCTCTCAAGCACCTGGGATCCAGACGGTTTGAGTTGAGTTGTCTTCACATCTGGGTATCTGGGTACAGACTTGAGCAGTCAAGCTTACCTATTCAAAAAACCCCAACTGCTCCCACATTTCAGTTCCATGTGGGATTTTGTCCCGAGGGATGTACAACCTCGGGCATCTACCAGCCCGAGCCCTTCTGAAAGGGAAGGTGACTGGACGCTGCAGTCTGATGAGTTCCCCTCCCCAGCTCCCTCCTTGCTCTGCAGCTCAGCACGCTGCACGACGCAACAGCTCTGTCCAGCAGCCATTGGATTTAAAATTTAAAAAGAGCAGTAGCCCCCAAAACGAGATGAACGCAAGCAACCAACCCTGCCCCCGCTTAATTAATCTGAATGATGAAATAGCCAGGAATCTTGTGAGGTTCAGACTCAACAACAATGCCTGAATCCCCTCCTTCCTGGCTGGTGGCCACTGTGCTTTTTCCCCAGACCACAGGGAGCTGCACTTGCAACTTAACCATTCCCACACAACTCTCCTCTACCTCCTAAAGGTTTTTCTTTTTTTCCTTTAGCTTAAACGATCATTATCTTATTCTTTCAAGGTTTTCATGTTTTTCATTTATTTTATTGTGCTCCCACCCCGTATTTGGTTGCATTACCATTTTAGAGCTCTGCACAGGAGTCTGCTGTTTGCTTTATGGCCCCAGAATGCCCAGCTATCTCCTGGGATTTCAGACGTCAGCTGTCCCGACCTCTTAAAGATGAGTTGGGACGTCCTTATCTGAAGGGCCCAGGGCTAGAAAGGTCTGCAAGTTCAGCTCCTCTCAGATTCTGGAATATCTGTACAAGTGCAATGAGCTGTCTTGGGGACAGAAGTCTAAACAGGAAATGCACATATGTTGTGCGTACACCTCTTACACATAGGCAGACACTGATGTGTACAGGGTTTGTAATCATTTTGGACACAAAACAAACTTTCATGACATGGAACTGCCCTCTTGGGGCATCACATGACACTGGGAAAGTCTGAGATGGGGCATTTCAAATTCAGCATTTTCTTAAAAAAAAAAAAGTTACTTTCTTTCTTTGAAAGTCAGATTGAGACAGAGAAAAAGCAAAGAAAGCTTCCCTCCATGGATTCACTCACTATGTGGCCACTACAACCAGAGCTGAGCTGCTCCAAAGCCAGGAGTTTCTTCCAGGCTTCCCACAATGGCACAGTGGCCCAAGGACATGAGCCACCCTGTCTGTGTTGCTTTCTCAGGCTCTTAGCAGGGAGCTGGATCCGAAGAGGAGCACAAACCAGTGCCCATATGGGATATTGGCGTCATCTGTGGAGGACTAGCCTGCTCTGCCACCACGCTAACCCCATCAAACTCAAGATCTTCAGATTAGGGTTACCCAGGCTGTAACAGGATTCGGATGAACCTGACGTCCCCCAATCTCTTCCCTCAGTTATCTGCCTGGGTTTCAGTTTTTACAGCTAACCGTGGAAATAACTGTCCATGGGTTGACCAAATTCCTCCGCACAGATATGTGGGGCCTCTGCCCTTCTCAAGGGCACGGAGTGTTTCTTTAATTGGATTCTGGACTTTGCTAAAAGAGACACTATTTGATCCAATACAGCAATGGTTCAGAAAAAAGCACGGGCTTCAAGGACCAGACAATGGTTAGCGTTCCACTCTACCACCTGTTGGCTATGTGACTGCCCGCGAGTTATTTGGCATGTCAGAGTCTCTGATTTCCTCTTTGTAAAATGAAGGTAGGAAAAAAAAAAGAGAGAGAGAGAGAAGAATTGATTATAGCTCCCTGCTAACATATCTGAGAAGGCAGCAGAAGATGATGCAGGTGCTGGGGGCCCTGCCACCTATAGGAAGATCCGAAAGGAATTCCAAGCTTCTGGCTTTGGACTGGCCCAGCCCCAGCCACTGCAGCCACTTGAAGAAGGAACCAGTGGACAGTAGATCTGTGTGTGTGTGTGTGTGTGTGTGTGTGTGTAACTCTGCCTTTCAAATAAATTTTAAATTTTGTCATTTAAACAAAAGATTAAATGAGATAATATGCAAAGGCAACTGGCTCATGGCAGAAACTTGGCCTTCCGGGCTTAGAATCAGGTTCCTCGCTTTGCTGCCAGGACAGCAGGTGCATGGCGCCATTTCAGCCCTCATGATAAGAGAAAGCACAGGATGCCCTGGCAATGCTGTGACACACTCACTGTTGATCCCTAATTCAAGCAAGCTTCCTAACAATGTTATTACTACTTAACTAAAAACCATAAAAAAAAACACATATTTTAAAGGAAAGCGAAGCCACTAAGAAATATACACATCTAAGCAGCTCAAAGAAAGGCACCCCACGGTCAAAACAAGAAAAAGCCAACCACTTTGTTTTCCATCCTGGAATTGCCACACAAACCCTGGCCCTTCTCAGATGCTGGTGCTCCTGGCTGAAGCTGCCCTGTGTCCCTTACCCCAAGGACAATGCACTTTTCCCAGCAAGGAGATTCTGCCTGAGTTACCCTCAGATGCTCTGCATTCTTGGAATTCTAATAACTGTATTTTTCAGTTGCACAGTTGCCCAAATACAGACACACAGACTTGTTTACACAGCTTGTTGCCAGGAAACCAGATGGGGGTGGTGGGCAAGGAGAGGGGGGAGATAATTAAAACAGGTCAGGGCCATGCCTGGGAGGACCTGAGGTCACTGCCAGCCAGCAGCAGGGGAGGGACGAGAGCAAGGAGCTTGGAATGAGGCTGCCAGGCAGGGATCTGGGAAGACACAGAGTTGGAGCAAGAATGGAAGCAGCCACAGAGCCCAGGACAAGATGCAGAAGGGCACCCAGAGGGTCAAGGGCAGAGGCTGTGAAATCCCGAAGCCGGAGAGGCCAAAGTTGAGAGGTAAGAGGAGTGAGGGGGGCAGCTGGGGGTGGGTGGAGGGGTAGGGAAAAGGAAGGAACACAGGGGAGGGGGGACGGGGATCTGAGGTCGCTGTCACCTGCAGTAAATGCCAGTCCCACAAGTACTTCCCAGACACAGGAAGGCCTGGTGGGCCTAATGCGAAGTGAAAGTGTGTGGACCCCCATTTGTAGAAAAAAAAATATGCAAAGAATTTAAAGAAGGTGGGCCCAGAGCGGCGCCCAAGTGGCTTAAGTCCTCGCCTTGCACGCGCGGGGATCCCATATTGCCAGTTCTAATCCCGACAACTCCACTTCCCATCCAGCTCCCTGCTTGTGGCCTGGGAAAGCAGTTGAGGACAGCCCAAAACCTTGGGTTCCTGTACCCACATGGGAGACCTAGAGGAAGTTCCTGGCTCCTGGCTTCGGATCTGCACAGCACCGGCCATTGCGGTCACTTGGGGAGTGAATCATTGGACGGAAGATCTTCCTCTCTGTCTCTCCCCCTCTGTATATCTGACTTTGCAATAAAAATAAATACATCTTTAAAAAAATGTTAAAGAAGGTATCAGGACATTAAATCCAGCAAGGTCCTTCCCATAAAGCAGGAGCTTAATAGACTAGGGGCCAGGGAGAGGCAGGGGTGACAGCCTCGGCTGGGTTTCCTGCGTTCCCCCAACCCATTTCCTCCACTGGGAAACAGGGCCACGCATCAGCACCTGGCAGCTGCAGGGGTGCGGCAAGCTTCAGCTGCCCGAGGTCACACAGGGGTCACAGGAAGAAAGCAGTGCATCCCCTTACTGGTGGGAGCTAATGGAGGAAGAGCAGGTGCAACCACTTCTGGTCTCCTGAGGGCTCCGAGCGGGGGCACCCTGCAGAGCACAGTGCTTAAGATGCAGTTGCCTAATTGGTGCTTTTTAACCCCCAAACCAGCGCACAAGCCACTGGTTATTCTGGACTGGTTCGGCAGCTGGCTTTGCTGGACAGGCATTCGCAGACTCTGGAATTGCTGTGTATTTTCCTCCCTATGCGTCCAGTCAGGCTTGAAAGATAAGAAAGTTTAAGGACATATGAGCAGAGTAGTAAGGTACAGTCCCCGGAATGGTCTCTAAGGTCCTGGGGTCCTGGGAATTCTCTCTCCCACATGGAAGCAGCTGCCATGGTAACAGCTACTGTACCCGTGGGAGCCTGTTGTTCTAGGGTCACACGAACAAGCTGTGAGGAAGGAGCTGTTGCTGGGCCCATTTTCTGGATGAGACTCTAAACAGAGCATGGCCAAGACCACACGGCCAGGATGTAGAGGATTAGGGCTTGCTGGGATGGCATGGCACTCTGAGGTATACACCATCCTCATGGCTGCGTGCTGGTGACCAGCCCCTGCCCGCTGCTCAGGCCTCGTTCCCTCTCATTCTGGGATGGAGGAGCCCGGGGATGGCCAGCCTGGGCACCATGCAGCCCACAGGCAGGTCTCCATTCTGTCCCCTCCCTGCAGAGCAAGTCCTGTGGGAAACAGGGGCGAGGGGTGCACTCCTAGAGTGTCCGGGGGAGAATCCACTTCCTGGGTCAGACAGCCACCACCCCAGGCCCCTAGACACCTGCCACTCTAACTCAGCCTCAGTCTCATTGATCACCTCTCTCTCTCTCTTTCCCCTCTCCCCACAAGCCAGCTCAGGCACCATGAGGTCCCTGAACTGAGACAAAAAGGCACACCCACGGCTTCATGGGTTGGCCACTCTGTGCCCCTGGCCACCCTCTCCTGCCAGAGCAGATTCACAGAAAAGAACAGGTGCCACTGAGTCAGACAGGATGGGGTAGGGATGTGCAGACAAAACACAGCGCCCGCCTCCAGGGTCCCGCCCAGCCAGACATGGGTGCTCCTCCTCTTCTTCCCTCTCAGCCACAGCTGGGGCAGAACACGAGCAAGGGAGCTGTAAGGAGAGAGAGAGGAGATGCAGGTCAGATCTGCTCGGGAAAAGGTACGGGGGCTCCAGAACATGGCCCCCAAGCACCCAGGGAATGGGATTTCCAGGGAGGGGACCCAGCGCAGCACCCCAGCTCCTCTGTGGTCCCCACAGTCCACCAGGTAGGCACCTCCCTTCCCCTGTCCTTGGGCAAGAGCTTTCTAGAGCTGCCAGTTATCCATTAAAATAAAATTTTAAAAAAAAAAACCCTCATCTTCCACCTGGGTGTTGTATTTTACTTGATGATTTTGTTTCCATGGCAACTGGGTACAACAGGGCCCAGGCACTGATCTGTTATCTGAAGGGCTGCAGTGGAACTGTGACTGCCAGCACCCTGAGCGACCACAGCAAGGGCCCCTCCCCTCAGTCTCATGGGCCAGGGACCTCTCACTGCCTGTTGCCCACTGTGGCCTCAACGCCTTTTCCCATTGGTCCCAAAGTGGCCTTAACACCTCCTGCCTGCCCTTGTCCCCTCCTCCTTCCCTGCCCAGCTCCTAGCTTTCCCAGCACCTCCCTCCAGCTCCTACACAGGTACTGCCAGGTTTCACAGGTGCCATGAGGCTATGTGGTGACTGACCCATTGCTGCCCAAAGACTCCAGTCAATAGAAGGCAGGTGCACCACCTAGGACGAGTGTGGGTGAGATCAGGCTGGCTCCTGCTGACCCCGGTTCTCAACCAGGCCAGTCTTGACTCCCTGCCAGTCACACAGAGCAATAGAACTAAGGATGTGTGACAGAAGGTACTGGCCAGAGACATGCTAAACTCGCTCCGGGGCTCAACACAAGCCCCTCCCCTAAGAAGTATCTGCCTCAAAATGTCCACAAAGCCGTGCTTTCAACAGTTGATGGACCTCCTTCACATACAAGAATCTTGAACTCCCAGGAAATTAACCATCCACCATGTAAGATGATCTGTTTGGCATAAGGGTCATCGGGGGATCTTTGCAAAGTTCCCACTCCACTGGAACATGCAAGTGTAACAGTCCAGTGCCCATGGTGTAGGCTGGGGTTAAAATCTAAACTTGAGCCTGGATTCTCATCTCCATCTCTGGGTAAAGGAACTGCTAGAACTGTGCAGAAAATATGTCTGTGCATCTGTGGGCACAACAGCATCATAACTGTGATTGGATTTTCAAAGGGGGAAGTAACTCAGGAAAATCTGATGCCATTTTTAACAACTTCATTCTCTCCTTCCTCGCTAGTTATAATCTCTTCGCGCAGGACCCCTGCCCTGGCCTCCCCTCTCGCCAGCTCTAGTCTACAAGGAACACAGTTTTGCCCTTGCAATGTGAAAGTGTAGATACTGCTGCCCCAACAGACGTGAACAGTCATGGAACCCCAGCTTTCCATCCTGACACCTGGTCTAGGTCATTCCTAAGTGCACAGCAGAGACATACCTTGTTTACCTTGGCTTCATTTGGATTGGTCACTCGGTCCAAGCCATAGTCCAGCACGTTGTTCACTCCTGGCTGAAGGAATAAAAACAACGTAAGGACCAAGACAGGGACAGTCTCCAGTTCCTGGTTAACTCTGAGTCACAGGGAACCTGTGACCTACAGGCAGCTTGGAAGGCATGTGAAATCTCCAGGGGAACTGAGGGGTTCCAAGAAGGCCATCTATTAGACAGCATCCCTGCCACATAAGCCAGGAAGATGAATGGATGGATAGATGAATGGATGGATGGGCGGATACGTATATGGATGGGTGGATGGGTGGGTGAGTGAAAGGATGGATGAGTGGATGGATGGATGGATGGATGATGAATGGAAGGATAGGTGGATGGATGGATAACTGGATGGATGGGTGGATGGATGGATGAGTGGGTGAATGGGAGATGGGTGGGTGGATGGATGGATAGAGGGAGGGAGGGAGGGAGAAAGGAGTGAGTGGATGTATGAATGGGTGGGTGGTGAGTGGATGGATGGGCAGATGGATGGATGAGTAGTTGAAGGGACAAATAGACAAATGAGTAGCATTCACAACACCATAGTGTGATGGGTGGGTAGGTGGGTGGATGGATGGATGGATGGATAGACAGACTGATGGATGAACGGATAAGGGACAAATGGACAGAGGAGTGGCATTCCCAGCACCATCGTTGAACAAACATATGGATGAATGGATAATCCAGGAAGTTCACTAGGATTAGTACAAGGGACCCTGGCTACTCCCACAGTGCTCCTTTCCCACGCTTCGCAGATTCGGTCTTGGCTTTCAACAAAGCATTCTGAGTTCCAGTCCAGGCTCTGCTGCATGCTAGCTGTGCCAAAAATCCTGGAAGCCACATTCTCTAACCAGTCTCATAACTCTTTGGCCATGAGTGTGGGTCTTCTACTTCCTCTTCTGAAGCTCAGAGCTGTTACTGACCAGCCCGACTGCACAGAAACACAGTTCAGGGGTGACTGGACTTTCCATCAGAGTCAGCCTAGTATGTTGGAACATCCACATTTTTAGCTCAGATTTGAGTCTGCCAGATACAATATTGGAATCCAACTATTGCCAAAAATCATTCAAGTAATTGTGTATATGCTGAAATTAAAAAATGTTTTAATAAAAATTTATCTTGATATAAAACACATCTCCTGTAAAAATTATTTGATGTTGGTCTGGAATTGAAATTGAACTAGACATTATCTGGACACTGTGTTCATACTGAGAAATTTATGGATGTGGTCCATTGACATGAGACCCCAGATCTCAGGGCAGCCCTTTCACACACATGGAGGCACCTGCTCCAGGCTTCGGGGATGGCAGCAGAGATAGCCACTTAGCTATGAAGCATCCAGGTGATGGATCACGTGTGTGGTGTGCATCATTAGAAGGCTACCCAGGGGTCTGACCTGCAAGCTGGGCTAGAGGGCAGGGATGGCTTTCATAACCAGTGCTTTTTTTCTAATGGGGGCAGATTCTAGAATCTGATCCCTATTGCTCATAGGAAGAAATCCCTCCAGTGTGACTTAAGACAGACTCTGCACACTTCCATACACTCTCACTCACATGGTCTCTAACACACCTACCTGCACTCTCACTCTGACTCATGCGCATTCACAAATTCTCACTCTAGTATGGAAGCACACACTCACAGGCACGCACACCCTGGCACTTCCATTCACACGCAGCCCACACCCACGATCCTCCAACAGCCCTTCCACAGACACTGGCTGCCTCAGTAGTTTAGTGCAGTCATCTGCTCCAGTCCAGAGTCCCCCCCAGCTCTTTCCTTTGAACTTGTTTCACACCCTGATAGAAATCCTGCTGCCCTGGTACTCCACGCTACAGGTGCACAGCTAAAACCAGCTGCCTACACCTCAGACCCGCATCTGTAGCCACCCACCAGGTGTCATCATTCTGTCATCCTGCCTGCCTGAACTCCAGCCCACCCCTGCTTTTCTTACTAGCTCCACAGAACAGGCAGGCACCTCCTCACTGGCTGCCCTGAATCCCAGGCCTCTCTCTCCTGGCCCTTCTATGGGCAGCAGCCACGTAAAGCCTCAGTCTTTCCTGGTCAAGCTGTGGTCCCCTCCCTGTGCCCTGCATTTGAAGCTTCTTGGGGCACTGTCTTGCCACCAGGTTGGTAGACTACCAGTCTTACTCCTTCATTCATTTAATGGTGCAAAGCCTCTGATCCACCATGATAGACAGCGGGACAGCTATCAAGACGGTTTTGGTATGCAAGATGGGGCTTGAGAGAAGATGGCCCAGAGCCATCAGTACACAGGAAACAAGCATGAGCAATCCATCCCCACAGTGAGTGCAGAGACTTCAGCACCAGCGTCACCCACAGGAAGCCCTCCAGAGCAGTGCAAGCTTCCTCCCTTCCGCCAGGGGCTGATGCCCCAACATAAACCACAGGGGCCTTTCGCTGCTAATGCCTTGTGACCCAAGTTAGGAAGGGACTTTCGGTGCATGCCATGCCTGTGCTGTGAAGAGGTGGCCTTCCCGGGAATCAGCACTCCAGAGCAGGGCTGCAGGGGGAGCAGGGCTGCAGGGAGAGCGGGGCTGGGAAGGCAGATGATTTGGGGTCCCTGAGTTAGGGAAGTCTGTCCAAGGAAATCTTGTCTTGAATCTCATGGCCATGCACTGGCTGATCCCTGATCTGTTGCAGAACCCCCAACTCCTACAGGCTGACTGCGAGGATGTCCCACATATCTCTTTGTGTAACCATTTTAGTCCCTGTCTCCCCACCAGATTGTAATGGGGTCATATCTGTTGAGGCCCCTGGTCATATCTGTTTTAACTGCTAAGCCAAATGTCCCCATTACCTAGTAAGGACCTGGTACATGGTGCACATTCACAAATACATGTGGTATCTGCTTTGTAGATTTGAACAAGGTTATACAGAGCATTCTACCCTGTTGCTAAGATACAATATTGTATGTCAGACCATGTTTCTAGGTCAAGGACTGCCTTTGGAAACACTAGATTAATAGCTTCATGGTGCTCCATCTTGTCGGAGCCACCTTCATTTATTCTGCCAGTCTTTGTGTCGGACACGTAGCCTAACCTTGAAGGGCAGATGTCTCCTTTTCTGAAGAACATCTGCACATGCTGTCGAAACAAGGGCCCTTGAACTTGACACTCAGACAAGCAGCATCTTCATTTAGAGCACATTCTGCCAGAAAGCAGACCCAAGGTACAGCAGTCATGTGCCCACCAGACACACAGGGCAGGCCCCAACATGACCACTTTCCTTCCGCTCATTTACAAGGCCCACTGCTGTCTGCATCGGGCTCAAAGCTGTGCTTTCCCCACATGGGGTTGAATCCATGAGCTACCACCACCTCTACTGAACCTGGTCTCTGCCCGTGATGCTGTCTTTGAGGTGGCATCCGACAGACTTTCTCCTCCCTCAATCACTTCTCACTGTGCCCTCTTTTGCATGCTTGCTCTGGGGCACTGCCCACCTGGCTTATGGCAATGTGCTTTTTGAATATCCTGAGCTTAGAAACAAGGGAACCAAGCTGGATGTTCCTTGTGCAACAGTAGAATGTAGGTTCTGCCATCAGATGGATACGGACTCACATCACAGCACTGCAGGCCACTGAGTTTCCCTGGGGGCCTGGCTATTCCTTCAGAGCGATGGGGATGACATTCTGTATTTAATGGTACCATGGCCAAGTGCAAATGAGGTCATCTGTGCCAAGGTCTTCACATTGGCCCCTAGTAGGTGTTCAATGACTTTTAGCTGTCACTTCATGCCCAGCCCCTAACCTCTCAACTGGCACAAAGCCACAGTCCAGAGGAGGTTTCCCAGATTGATTGACAAATCAAACAACAAACAAGCAAATCAAATGCCCAGGAGCTGCAGACCAAGGCACACTCCACAACAGGAGGTCAAAGTCATTCTACCCAGTGGCTACTCAATATTACACAGAGCCAGATGCCATGTGGGTTTGGCTAGCTTCTCCCTAACCCTCCATCCCCATTGAGGTGGCGGCTTCTTTATGTCTCCTGCAGATAGTCCACCCGTTAAGAAGTACTGGGGCCTCCGGAGCTTGGCATACCAGCTCTTGACTCAAGGAAGCAGCAGAGAGGGACATCACCTGTGCTGGGTCAGTGCTGGGTCTGACAGCTCCAGGTACATCAACGCCTCACTCTGAACTTGGATCCAAAATGGACCATGCACATGGGAACCCAGGCACTGTACTTGTGGGAGCAGCAATCACTCATGCAATGTGTCCATGACTAAGGAGGCTACAGAGGGCTGAAAGGCACTAAGATATCCCATGACACTGTCACGAGAGGCAATGGTGCACCTTGGCTAAGAGAAAACACTGTCAGCAGCTATTGGTGAAGTCAGACACTTAGGCACTAACACACTGAGGAACCGGGCAAAATGGCAGCATCCAGGAACCTCAGCGTGCTGCGCAACAAAATGGAAACAATGCTACTGCCTTCCTCTGAGGGATGTACAGATGAAAGCGCGAGTACAGAATGTTCCACCCAGCGCCCAGCACATAGCAAGTTCTCAGCTCAGGTCTACTGTGGTGGTTGTGGTGGCACTGGTGCTGGTAGCATTAGTAGCAGCGGTTAAGGGGGGAAAGTCAGGCAGAGGTGTAGAGAAGGTGGGGAAGGAGGGAGTGAGATGATGTCATGCTGGTGGGGACAGAGGAAGGAACAGAGATAAAGAGTGGCACATGAGGTGGTACGGGGAGACAGTCATAGCCACACACAGTTGGGTTTATGTGCCTCTTCTGTGTCGGGCCACAACATCCACTGAGCAATTTCCCTGGTGGGGACTATGAGCTTGCCCAGGACCAGTGGGGTGAACCTCATAGGCCTTCTGAGTACAGGCACAGAGAGCAGGTGGGAAGATCAAGGGCAACAACCAGGCTGTGTCAGTTTGCAAAGATTACAATCCTATGGGCATTCCATGCAGCCAAGTAAATAACCTGAAGCCAGAGATACATCGTACTGCAAGCAATGAGAAGCTTGGCTCACTCTTACTCCTTCCTTCCTTCTCCCAAGTCAGCCGCTGGGGCTTGGATCTGACACAGGGATGGGACAGAGAGCAGGAGACACACAGGACATACTGGGTGCTTTGTTCTTCTGCTTGGGAGACAGATGTGTTCAAGTTTTTCCTTCTTGTGTTCTTTTCCCAAGATATGGTATTCCCAAACAAAAAAATAAAAGGTGAACTCACTTAGATTCCCTTCTACATGGCACTGACAGATGAGCCAAGAGCAGAGCCCCGCCAGCCCCGCCAAGAGGTGAGGCCATCACTCAGCACAAAGTGGCCCCTCCTGCCAACCCAACCCAATGCTGAGTCCAGGGAAGGGCTGGCCACTGGGATGGCGAGAGCAGGAAGGCAGTGGGGAAGTTTCAGAAGAGCAGGGGGTACTCACAGGGCACCGGTGCACCAGCCAGTATGCCTTCTCCTGGCAATCCAGCGCATACCTATCTGCTTTGGTCCTCTCCTTGCCAGTTCTGGAAAGCCAAAAGCCATGGTTGAAGCCATTAGCACTTTGCTTCTTTCCATCAGTGATGGTTCTCATTTCTTAGGACCTGGGCATTCTCCCAACAGGCCCAAAGAACTGCCAGTGCCCTGTGACAGTCACAGGCGCAGCAAAAGTAACCCTCCTAAGCTAGGAATCCCTGTGACTACTACAACACACCACCAATGCAGTTCCTGTGGTGGCCTTTTTCATTTCACAGTTCAGGGAACTTTAGAAAAAGTTGCCAAGACCACATGGTCAGCATGTGGTAGAGCAGGACTGGAGTCTGGGAGTGGCCCCAGTAACTCTCCTACATGAGATTATGTGCTATGACCAGCCCTAGAACCAAACCAGGTCCACCAACTTCTCCACTTGGGCTGCATGTGGGACCTTCCGAGCCAGCTCTGGACTGTCCATGGCTTCTTTACCTTCCCCTGCCCTGGTCAACACGGTCAACATCAAGGTCAGCAAGCATGTAACAGTCCATGCCAGGGCTTGCATCAGGAGAAACGCTGGCCTCAGTCATCCTCTTCACTCCCTGCTATGTCACTCAAGAGCTTGGGCCATGCCCTCAGCACAAAGCGTTTACTGTGTCTGCCATTGCTGGCATCTCCACTGAACACCTTGCTAACTTCTATCCATGCCATGCCTTGCACCCCGTCCCTGACAGAGGCAGCAGCTTGCTTCTGTCTGCTCCTAAGCCTCTCTCCTCCACACCCACCATCACCATTCTTCATCCAGCTGCTTTCCTGGCAGCTGCAGGCTCAATGTCCACCTTCTGTTCCTGCTGCTCGGTAACTCTCATCTCTCAGCAGCATCCACGGCTGCTCACTCGCCTCCCCAACCCACTTGATGGCTTCTTTTCATTCCCCATGTCCAGCCCAGTGCTGAGGACACAAATGCCCAATAACGCTTTGTTTGGAAAAAAAAAAAAAAGACAAATGCCCAATAAAGCTTTATCTGGATAAAAAGACAAAGAAGAAAGGAAAGAGAAAGAGAATAAATATTGCTCACCTGTACTGCTCTTTGGCCTGCATTATGACAAAGTCCCACTTGTAGTTAATTTTTTTGTTCAAGAAATTATAATTTTCCTGGAGAAGTAAGATGAAAATAAGAACAGTAAGTTTTATGTTCTGTGAGTAGAGCAGAAAATCCCAACAAGGACATGCCCCCACGGTCTCCAACCTCCGCATCCAATGGGTAGCACAGAATTCTTAAAAGCCCTTCAAAGCCAGCCTTACTTTTCTTAAGTTGGTTATATGTTTTTTTTAATACATTTATTTATTTTTATTGAAAGGCAGATTTATCAAGATAAGGGGATGCAGAGAGAAAGATCTTCTGTCTGCTGGTTCACTCCTCAAGTGGCTGCAATGGCTGGAGCTGAGCTAAGCTGAAGCCAGGAGCTTCTTTCAGGTATCCTACACAGACTGACTGATTTTTCCCCATATTGTTACAATAGTATAGTCCTTCAAACAAGTCATAATTCCATCAGTCTGTTATTTAAGCATGCCTCGACATGGCTGGTACAGACAATGTCAGACAGGCCAAGATCTCATCATCTAGATCTGCCCAACAGTTTCACTAGGAGTCCATCTTTGATTTGGAAGTAGGGATGCTTACTGCACTATATTGTTTTTTAAAAGAAAGATCTCCTAGGGGCTAACTCAATTAGCTAACCCTCTGCCTGCTAATGCCGGGATCCCATATGAGTATCAATTCATATCCCAACTGCTCTACTTCCATCCAGCTCCCTGCTTGTGACCTGGGAAAGCAGTTGAGGATGGCCTAAAGCCTTGGGACCCTGCACCCACATGGGAGACCCAGAAGAAGCTCTTGGCTCCTGGTACCGAATCAGTTCAGCTCCAGCCAATGCAGCCATTTGGGTAAAGAATTAGCAGATGGCAGATCTTTCTCTGTATCTCCTTCTATTTGCAAATCTGCCTTTCCAATAAGAATAAACTCATTTAAAAAAAAAAAAAAAAAGAGGGCCTGGCACAGTGGCCTGATGGCCAAGCGGCTACTCCACTTTCCATCCAGCGTTCTCTCTGTCTCTCCTCTCTGTAGACCTGACTTTCCAATAAAAATAAATAATTCCAAAGAAAAAATAAAAGAAAGTCTCCCAAAGTGGCTTGGATGGGGTAGAATATGAAAACTATTTCCCCAATTCACCCTACGGCATCATAAAGTCACTTAGATAATCTCCAACATGGATACAGTGCTGACCCTCCTAAAAATACGTTGGTCAAGGAACAAAATACTGCAATATGGTTGCCTGCCATTCAGATATGCTGGCCTTTGGAGAAATTTGGTATGTTCTTTAGGAACTCTGAGTCACACAGACTACCACAAACGTCTGCACTGTTGTTTTCCCATCACAACCCAGACTCAACACTGTTACTCCATGGCTGTTCATGGTTATATTAATTAATTAGTTAATTAGCCAATGTACTAATGTGATAAGCTGCATATTAATTGACAATGCCTGGAGACAGCATAAATAGGGAGGCAGTGACTGTATGCACAGTACCTCAGAACAAGCGCTTAAATTACAACAGGAGAAACTGAAGCCAGAAATGGGAAAGAGTTTACCTCAGTGAGCTGCTTCTGATGGATGGATGGATGGATGGATGGATGGATGAATGGATGGATGTAAGGAAAGATGGAAGGATGGACAAATGTGGGTAGGTGGATGAATGAGCGAACAGATGGATGAATGGGTGGAAAGATGGATAGATGGTAGGTAAATAGATGGGTGGGCATGTGAGTGGATTGGTGGGTAGGTGGATAGATGAGTGATGAGTGGTTGAATGTACAATGTATAAGTGTAGTTGTGTGAGGAAGAGGGGGGAAAAAACAGCTCAGGGCTATATTCCACTCGGTTATAGTAAACTACTCAAAAACATTTCTGTACCTTTTCATATTCCTCCAAAATCCCTTTCTTCTTAATATTTCGTTTGGCTAAATAGATGGCTGGAAGAGAAAGCAATGATATTTTTCATCATCATCCTATTTCAAAACCCCACCTGCAGACTCTAGGCACCGTGTCACTATGGGGGAGCAAAGTCAATAGAGCCAGTCCCTTGCCCACCAAGAATTCTTCCAACCCAGACATAAGCTGACATAAAGGTTGCAACGACCTGAAGACATATACAGCCCAAATTTGGCAAGTCAATAAGGAGCAGGAAAAGCACCACCAAGCGCATGGGTAGGGCTGGTGTATTTACCGTAATCTGTATCTTCCGCTGGCCACTGCTGGGTAGGCCAGAAGTACGGCGTCTGAAAGAGAAACCAGGGACACCAAGCTGAAAGGCTGAACCCCAAACCCTGTAACTGCAGAGGGATCCTTGCTGCCACCACCATTTCTAAAGTCATGATCCGTGAGGATATGAGACTCATCAACCGCTTGTTTAAGTAGGATCCCTCCCACATCAACACCCATGGTCGAAGTCAGGTCTCACCTGAAACCGGTACAGGCTGCCATCAGGCTTGAGGACCAGATTCTTGGGGTCTTGCAGGGGATAAATATAGCCGTACTTGACAATAAAGTTGCCCAAATTCTGTGCCTCTGCAGAGGAACAGTTCAGACACGGATGTTACAGGCAGAGGTCATAGGTGGAAGCTGCCTGTCCAACACCCCAAATTTTGGGAGAGGTGCCCTCAATGCTAATACCTGTATCACTGGAGTGGAAACAGTGGCTTCTGCACTAGACCATAGACAAATGTCAACTGGGAGCAGGCTAGCAGTCCCCACATCCTATCCTGGGGATAGGACATCTCAGTAAACCTGAACATGACCCGGGATCTCAGGTGGCCCATGGAGGGTGATGGGGGGAATGCTAGAAAAGCTGCAGCGGGCCCTTTGGAGTCTGGTAAATGTCCTGAAAGGGGAAAGAAAATGTCTCTATGAGACCAACCTTTTCTCACTCAAGAGAAAAAAGGACAACTAAACTGTCAACTTCTACCCAAGCTCAACTTTGCCATCAGGCAACATCCAGGTCATCCCATCCTTCTTATCTCACTGTAAGCCTTGCCCTGGGTTGGCAGCGGTCAGAGAAAAACCTTCCTCATTGTTTCTGAGAAGCACCAACAAAAGTAGGGTCTCCCCAAGCTCCCGAGGGGACTCCCGCTTCTCCAGTTTTCCACCCACCCTGCCCAAGCACCCAACCCACACCACAGCCCCCACTCAGCCTGACAAGTTGAGAAGACCTCCTCCCCGCCTCCCTCCATCTTCAGACCTCACGCCCAGCATCACAGACCAGACCTTCGGCTTTTACACTTCATTGCACCTGCAGCCTGTTTTTCTAATGTGAAATCTGGCCCCGCTCATCAAATTGCTGTCTGACATCCAAGCTTAACTTGGACATCCTACACTCCATTGGGCTTGAAAGCTGGCTTGCCTCTCCTCTACCAGATAAAACTCAAAGCCTAAAAATGTGTTTCTGCACGTTCACCCAGTACATTCCATACCCAGCTGAAACCTCAATCCTTCCCCTTTTCCTCTCCCCATTTCCAGTTCATTCCATTTCCATACCGTCATACCTGCTTCTCTCTCTACCAGAGACCCTCCAAGTGCCTTCAGCAATTCACTTTTTTGTAATCATTCTCTCTTACTAGTAATTATTTCTATTTTACTTATTTTATTTTTTATGTTTCATGATACAGTTGCATAGGTTCAGAGATTTTCCCTTCCCCCAGAAAAATCCCAGGCCGGCTTTTGATTCTAGTGGCTTTATACCAGAGGGTCATGTCTCTTCAACTGAAATGCAAACTTCCCCAGACCCTCAGGTTAAATCTGTATGGGACCGCATAATCCCACCGCCAGCTGAACCCTTACCCAGGGTGGAGATCCAAAGCCGCTCAGTGATCCACTGGAGAACATCGCCTCCTGCCAGAGACAGATCCAGTCCTTGTCATTGCCCCGCAACCTGTCCCCAGATGGCCACACCCTCCTCCACCGGCCTTCCCTCTGCCCTCCCAAAACTCCTGGGCTCTCCACACACACTCATTGCAATCAATTTGAACTCCGCAGCCTGTAATTCACAGGTATCCACAACCCGACTAACATGGATATGCAACCTCACCTTCCCTCCACCTGCCCAATCTTTTCCCTCCTGTGGGATTTATCATTCACCTCCAGTCCTGTGCAGAGCCTACAGGTCAGCAGTGAGATGGCAAGAAGACCAAGACTAAACACTGAAAACAAAACAGCCCTCAGAAAAGCCTGTATGTGGTTTTGGGAAGGAGCTTGAGCAAGTGGAAGTCAGCGAGAGCCAGGGATGGGGAGCGAAGCAGGAGCAGAGGGTGGGCTTACTCTCCCAGACTGCAGCCTTGCAAGCAGAACACGTAAGCGGCACGTAGGGCAGGTGCATTTTGTCAAGCTGCGAAGATGGGACCTATTTTAGGACCACTCAACTGCTACCTATACTTGGGACCACGGAATGTAGACTTAGAAGTGTACTCTTGTCTCAGGTCCTGCAGGTCCCAGAGGCTGGCTGGCAACCAGGTAAAGTGAAGACTGGCATGGAAATAAGCAGGGGGGCAGACAAGGACAAGGAGGGGAGAACATGTGCCCCCTCACTCCCAATGCCTGGGTTCCATAGGTCTAAGGGCCTGGCATGCCACAGTAAGGCCAAGCAGGCAGCTCAGCCAGAGCCCCCCGACCTCACATGCAGACACAGCTCCTGCTTAGGACAGGCACCACGACATCTCAAAAGCATGAGAAGGTGCCCTGGACACAGAGGCCACACTGGTACCAAGAAGCTGCTTTCCAAAGCTCCCTGCCTGCATGAGAACCCACTTAGAAAACACGCTGAGGCATGCAAGTGTTGTGGTGTACCCGGGAAAGCCACCACCTGCAATGGCATCATTCCATATGGACGCTGGTTTGCATCCTGGCTGCTCTACTTCCAGTCCAGCGCCCTACTAATGGCTAAGAGAGGCAGTGGAGGATGGCCCAATTGCTGGGACCACTGCCACCCATGAGGGAGACCCAAATAAAACTCTTGGCTCATGGCTTCAGCCTGGCTTAGTTCGAGCCATTACGGGCCAACTGGGGAAGCAACCAGCATATGGAAGGGGTGTGTGACTCTGAAAATGATGAATCAAAAAAAGCACAACTGAAGCCTTCATTTAGAATCCTCCTGAAACCCTAGGACTGAGTGTTGAGACATCCCCATGCTATGTGTCTATGTCTGAATGCCACCCAGCAGCACAGGGAGCCAGGAGACAGCCCCAGGCAGGCGGCAGACTGATAAGCTTTCTCCAGTGAGGAGCCGAAGGCTTTGTCATCCACTTGACTGCTTCCCAAAATAGAGCAAATGAGATTACGGTGCCACCAGCGTCTGCGCCCTGTGGTCTGGCTGACAGCCTGGCCAGCCACACAGGCTCCTGTGTCAGCAACCTGCAGCTCCAGGAAGCTCTGGGACACCTGTCATTCCAAATACCGCATGGCAATTGGCTTGTATCGATACTGATGTTGAAGGCTAGGCTTTCTCCCCTGGTCGAGTTTCTACAGCCAATGGAATTCACCCACACAGGAGAGATAAGAGAGAATGCAGAGGGGAGTGTGGCTTCATGGTAATCCAGGAAGCAAGCATGCCCGTGGGCCAGAAAGGCAAGCAGCTGGCACACACTGGCCGTGAAGTAGTCAGAGCTGGGTTCAAGCCCAAGAGGGCTGAGCGACATGAGGACAAACTTGAACCTCTGTGTGTCTCTATGGCACCCTGTGCAAAGCAAGGCTGGTCAGACCTATGCTGAATTCCAAGGCAGGTGTTCACAGACACAGCATGAGAAATTACCAGCTCCCAGGACCTGCCCATGCTGAGCGCTGGCACAGCCCTAGCTTCATGCAGCTCCAGCCATCACTCTTTTAGACCAGAATTGCCATTCCTTCTTTAAAAGACAAAAGGCAAGAAGATGGAGATGAGGTCAACACTGCCAGCAAAAGATACCTTAAGGATCCACACTCAGGTGTTCAACTCAATGTCTAGGACTCTTTGCACAATCCTAGAACAGGACTGATTTTTGCATTCAGTCAACTTCTAATATTCTTAGGAACAGGGCTATTCTAAGCACTGGGGTTGCCTTGATGAACAAGACCAGGGGCTACCCTGTAAGGACTGGTGGTCCAGTGGAGCGCCCAGGTCAGAATGAGTGACACCCAGGAGGATGGTAGGGGGAGGAGCAGAAGGCAGGAAGAATCATCAGAGCTGCATCTCAGACCAAGACGGAGAGCTGGGGCTTGCTACAAAGTCTACCCCTTGGTCCCTGCTCACCCGCTGCTTGCCGTTGGATGCCTAAAGCTACTCCACTTCCTGCCCTCTCCCAGGTGTCTCCTTTAAAAAATCATTTATTTTTATTTGAAAATCAGATTTACAGAGATAGGAGAAACAGGAAGAGAAAGAGAGATATTTCATCTTTTGGCTCACTCCCCAAATGGCCGCAACAGCCAAAGCTAAGTCAATCCGAAATTAGGAGCCAGGAGCTTCATCCAGGTCTCCCACGTGGGTGACCTCTCTTTTTCTCTAAGCTGCCTGCAGCGTTCCAATGACCCTTCCTCTCTAACCACCCAATGATAGCCACCTCCTGTTTGCACTTCAGGGAATCTGAGAGCCATTGCTGGTGGGGACACCTATTCCTGGACACAGTCAGAGGAAGTAGGGACCTGTTAGCCCACTGCTTCTGCCAAGACCAAGAGGCCTGGGTGAAAAGCAAGTAATGGGGTACTAAGGGAGACGGAGTGTGAAAGCTCACAGGGATCACAGCACCATGGTCAGACCCTGTGGACCACGTGCCTTGGTAGGAAGTACACGCTGCAACCAATCCACGCTCTCCAGACACCACCAACACATGAGCCCAAATCTTCACGCAGTAACCTGAGAAGGCCTGTTCCCTTTCCTTTCTGACTCATTCCTCAACGAACAAACAAAACACTATAGTCAAGGAATCATCAGACTTATCCCATAAAGAACCAGGTAGCAAATACCCCAGCTTTGTGGCCATGACACAGGCTACAGAACTATACACTTCAACCCTGCCACCCGGGTATCAGAGCAACAACTTGGGTGACACACAAGGAGTGGCCATGGCTGTGTTGCAATAACATTTAATTTACAAAAAGTCAAGTCATAAGGATGTCACACAGTAGCACAGCTAGCTAATATTGCCCCTGTGCTGCCAGCATCCCATATAATGCTGGTTCAAGTCCTGACTGCTCCACTTGTAATCCAACACCCTGACTGTAAGGACTTATTCCAATATCCCACCCTGGACCCTGCGCCATTCCTTCTTCCTCACAGCTCACAGAATTCGCGCCAGTCCAGCCATCCACCAATCAGATGTAACCTGGCATTCCACCTGAGAATCCCACCCCCAATCTCCCAGCCCCTTCCCCAACCCCGCCCACTCGCCAATCATCCCCAGGCATTCACCTGCAGGCACCAATCCCCTGGGGCCTGACCTCAATCCCTCCGAATCCCCGCCCCCCACACCTGGCAGACAAAAAAGGCCCCCAGGTGCGGCTCTCTCTTGCTCTTGCTCTTGCTCTCTCTCCTTGGTTCCTCTCCCCTGCTCTTCCTCTCTCTCTCTCCTTCTTACCTTCCTTCCCTCCCCTTCCCTGTTCCTGCCCCATTTGGTTCTCTCTCTCTCTCTCTCTCTCTCTCTCTCTCTCTCTCTCTCTCTCTTTCTCTCTTCTTCCTTGCTCTCCCCCTCCTCCCCCTTTCCCCTTCCCCTATTCCTGCCCCGCTGGAATAAACTTCCTAAGATATGTCGCTGTGTCTGGTGTTTTCAGCTCACGGTAAAGAACCAGGTTGCGAGAATTAGCTGCGCGTAAAGTATCTTAATATCGTATAACCTAGAACTAGAACTCTTACACTCTTTTAAATAACTAACACTGACAAGGTAAGTAGCAGAGGACATCCCAAGGCCTTGGACCCCTGCACCCACATGGGAAACCTGGAAGAAGCTGCAGGCTTCCATCTTTGGGCTGGCTCAGGTCTGGCTGTTGCAGCCATTTAGGGAGTGAACCAGTAGATGGAGGATTTCTCTCTCCTCCTCTTTCTAACTCTGGCTATCAAGTAAAATAAATAAATCTTAAAAAAAAAAAAAGGCAAGCCATGGTCCAAATGTGACCCATGTGCTGTAGTTTGCCACACACCCCGTTCCTCATGGGCTCTGCTGCTGGCCCAGCCCAAGCGGCACACTCCCTCACCTGTCATGGCGTGAGGGACACTGGTGACCAAGACCCTCTGGTTCTGCATCCTGACCCCCGTCTCGGGATTCTGCATGTCCTTCACAAGCGCTTCAATCTGCAAGACAGAAAGGAAAAGACTGGTCGCTCAGACCCATTTCAGAAACTGGGCAGAGGGCTTGGCGGTAGCACTGAGCCAGAGCCCAGGAGGCAAAGCAGGACCAAGGGTCTGATCACGGGATGCAGCATCCAGACAGACGGGAGCAGCTCCAAGGGACCTAGAACCACACCTGGTAAAGACACAGGCTCCCTGCCTGCAGCTTGGAGTCCTTCTCATCAGGAGATTCCTGGGGGAGAGGAGGGCCTTCTAAGAGAAAAATGAGGCAGAACAAATGGAGGATTTTCTTGAACAGAAACCGACAGGCTACCTTGAGCCGAGGCATGACTGATGACGGGGCCCTGAGTGTGGGAGGGATGGAAGATGGCAGGAGTCGGGACTGCAGGTGGAAGCCAGACCACCACAGGCCCTGAAGCCATCCGCGGAGTGTAGGAGGACATTGTGACCCTAGAAGGTCAGGGAGCACAGGATTACAGTTGATTGGACAATATTTGTATGATAAACAACTGAATGGGTGCCTTTTGTGTGACTGATTGGATATCCTTTTCATGAGAACAACGGAATGACTGCCTTTTGTACACCTGATGGGATATCATTTGTATAAGAAGAGTTGAGTGGAAAGTATGTGCATGAGAACACTTGGTGGAATATACAAGACAAAAGGACTTCCAAACAAAAGCATAGAAATAGTTGATGGGTTTGTTGATGAGCTAAATACCTCCACCCTAATCCTATAGGACCGTCAGTGTATAAAGTCTGTTGCCCCTAATAAAGTTCAGCTGTTGATCATCAGTCAGTAGTCCATGTGTGTTATTATCGGCTCCATGAACCAAGTCCACCACTGCAGGACAGCGACAGTGGAGTACAGCTCATGTTCCAGAAGTTATGGCTGGGGAACGCTTTGGAAACGTGGCCCATAACAAAAGGAAGAACACTGGGGGAAGGAGAGGTTTGCCAAGGTACCAGGTGATAGGTCCCAGATCACTGTAACAGGCCAGGCAAGCAACGATGAGAGCCCCACAGGTACCACCTCTTCCCCCATCTGTCCTCAGCAGAGTGGTCTGATGAGCCTGCCAATGACCGTGGCATCCAGCTCCCCTCTACCAGGCCATTTCCTCCCACATACAGGACAGGTGCCGCTGCTGCTCCACACTGATGGGACGTCTTTTCTCTCAGTCTCTCCTCCCACTCCCAGCTGGCTGCCCTGATGCAGCCACACTGGCTCTCCTGCTTCCCCACCATCACGCCTAGCACACTCCCAGCCCTGACTGTCCTACTCGGCTGTGACCCTGAACTCCATTCTCCTTCTAGCATGTTCGATAATTCTGTCTTTATTAGTGGTTAGCTGTTGTGATCTCCACTTTCCCCCAGAAAGTAAATTCTTCATAGGTAGGTCTTTTGCTGTACCTAGCAACTGGGTACTCAAACGGTTGATGCAGCAAGAAATACATGCCTGGAGGCAGTGCCTGGGATAATGGAAGAGAGGTGTGGTTTTCAGAGCCCTTTGCAGCAAAATTTATGTTGCACACAAGTGACTGGGTAGGACAATGAAGGGGACCAGGGAATAACGCTGAGATTTATAACTTCTGCGACCAGAGCTGCCAGCTCCCAAGATAGAAAATGCAGAGAGAGGGAGAGAAGCGCCTTCTTGAAGCACACACTTGTGCCTTGGAATGCTGGCTGCAAAGGACTGCAGATATGCCCACAGTGTGTGGGAGGGAGCCAGAAACAGCCACCCCAGTTCAAAAGAGGTCAGAGGCAGAGACATGAATGCAGACCCGTGGATGTCAAAGACAGGTGGAAGCCAGAGGAAACTCAAACTGCCCAAGGAAGATGGAGCCACTGGAGGACGGCCACAAGGACAGCCTCTTCATCTCCAGAGCAGATTTCAGTATTTTATTATTGAAATCATATCTATGTTTCTCTTAAAAATGGAATGGAAATAAAATGATCTATAGGATACCTGAAAACCAACTGGATGTCCAACATCACTCAACAAAGATAAGCCCAATGTTCCCTTCTTGTCATTGGGAGACTGGAATTGGTGCTGGCCAAGCTTCACACGCAGGGGCTTCAAATGTCACACAGTGTCTGTTCCCTGGCCCAGATGTGCTTGTCAACAGTTGATCGGTCGTTTAACAACCAAGCACAGTCACAGTCATCCTGGGAACCCAGAGAGGGGATGCTGCAGCCTCTGAACCCAGGAAACTCACCTTCCAAAGCAGAGTGGGTTCCCAAGCTGTGCGGCGCTACATGTCAAGACCCTAAGGGATGCCTGAATCATGGACTGGCCAAACCCTACAGGTAATGCTTTCTCCCAATACACCCACTCCTAGGATGAAATTTAATTTATCATTTAGGCAGACTAGAAGGTTAGCAACAATGACTAACCATAAAATAGAATAATTATGACACTATAGTGTAATAAAAATTATGCAAATGTGGCCTCTCTGTCAGGCTCAAAACATGGAATTTTCCATTTCATATCTTTGGATCATGGTTGACTGCAGATTACTGAACCTTCAGGAGACAGAACTGCGGATGAGGAATGATGCTGCATCAACACGGGAAAGAATAACATGCAAGGTGCAATGGTGAAGGTGTGGGGAGGGAACCTCAGGACAAGGACTCATAAAGTGACCCCTATGAAGATGGGAGGCAGCTGGCCACCAGAAAGGGGCCAGAAGGGTGAATCTGGGCCTTTCAGGCTAAGGGGTTGTGGGAACAGAAGCATCAGACAGGAATCAGAAGTGAGCACAGACACCTGGGTCACAGCTCTCTCCGAGGTCCATGTCATTGCACCCAGCAGGACACAACCTCCTGGAGACCACACCTACATCCAAGCTGTCCACCACTCTAGCTCCTTGACTCTTGTATTCCCCTTCATATTTCTGATTTGAGTACATCCTTGTTGTTTGTTCTCCTGCCATTTAATAAAATGACACCCATGCACACCACACGAGCTGTTACAATAAAGTCCTTGCAGTCAAAAGGAAAAGAATTTGGGATGGGCCTTCGAGCTGATGACTGAGATGCAGCTGCCTACGCCTGAAGAAGAGTCCCAGCTCCACTTCTGATTGCAGCACCCTGGGAGACAACAGCTGATGGCTCAAGCTCCTAGATCCCTGCCAATCAAGTGATAGTCTCGAACTGAGTTCCTACCTCTTGGCTTCTGGCTGGCCCAGCCATTGTAAGCATCTGAGGAGTGAACAATAAATAAGATCTCTCTCTCTCTCTCTCTTTCTTCTCAAAATTTTCTTAATTAAAAAAGAAAAAGAACCCCAAGGTTCTCCTTGCCTTGCAAGACTCTCTACTAACTGTAGGCTCCTGGACAACTCACTGCACCTATAGGCGCTGCCCTTCTCTACCATAAATTGAAAATATGATGGCAGATGCCCTACTAGCAGACCTAGGTTCAAACCCATCTCTTAGAACCCAACTAAGGAACTGTGTGAAACTACTTTCTAAGGAAAGATGCCTGTTGTATGTGCATAAAGATACTCGGATTAAACATTCCTTAGCTGAAGCGCTTGGGACTGAAGTGTTTTGGATTTGGGACTTTTCTGAATTTTGAAAATTTTCATTTACATAATGAGGCGTCTCAAAGACAGGGTCTGAACGTAACAAATGGAATTCTTTCTGTCTTCTTTCCACCTTAGGCTCATAGCCTGCTAGTAATTTACACACTATTTTAATAATCAAGTTCATGAAACAAAGCATCATTTAAATGTTCCCCATGCAGAACATGGTGTGCTTCTGAGGTCATGGCTATGCATGTTATTCTGACCCGCTCTTCACATACTGTAGGCATGTATAGAAATGCTACACTGTATCCATCAATAGACATAGTTGTTACATGCTGATTTAAAAATGTATTCAAAAGAAAGCTTAAGAAAACTACAACCAAAACTAGAAAGAAACAAGTTTCATGGCGGGAACCTTTCTGTTTGTAGCATCAGGAGAGTGAGTGCTCAGAGAACTTTGGGAATACCCAGGCTTCCCAAGGGGAGGTCAGACTCATTCATTAATAATGATGACCTTCACTTAGAATCATCCATATTAGCAGCATTTATGTGATTAACACATTTTTGGAACTTTGCCTGCAGGACATGCTTCTATGTCTGGGAAGAAAAACCCAGCTCTACTTATCCAACAAATGTGTTTGTTTAGTGTATATTTAGTTTCCAACCCTGGGGAAGGGTATAGCAAGGTCAAGAAACACTGTGGGAGGTTCATTATATGAACATTACAAGTGAACCAATGTAAAAGCTGGTAGGTCTGGGTCCATGGGAAGCTTAAAACAAGCGATGTTCCAACGCAGAAGCTGGGGACCTTAAGTGAACTTTTAACTATCTCTAAGACCCATGCTCTGGGGGGTGCTGGAGTATGGAGATTACAGTACTACCGTATCATCCTAGGGGTGTTGTGAAGAACAAATGAGATTAAACAGGCAAAGCACCTGGGATGTGCTAAGCACAACCTGTCCATGAGATGGCAACTGCAACCTGAATTACAGACCAAAATTAAGGAAGAGATTGAGCGGAATAAAACCCAGAGGAGCAGGATGGGTGAGAAGACCCCAAACCATGTGCACCAATGGGGAGCAGGATTTCCAAGGCAGGGATGACGGAAGACAGGCCCGGGAACCTCTACGTAGGAAAGTAGAGAGATTGGCATCACACCCCTTGTGTGTGGTTGGCGAGAAGGCAAAATGGTTTACCTGCTATGAAAAAAAAAAATGGTACAGATGTTCATCAAAAAATAAAACTACCAGAGGATCTAGTGACCCTACTTCTGGGTTTATATCCAGAAGAACTCAAAGAGATCACTACTCTCCTATGTTTGTCATAACCTCATTCAGAAACATCAAAATGCACACAAATCCATCAGAGAAAGAAAACAGGGCATAAACACACAACGGAATAGTATAAGATCCTATAATAGGCGGCCACACGGCTGACCTATAAGGACCCTAACCTGCCCAGGACACACACTTGCTG